CATGTGAAACTCTATTTCCTGGCCCTAAAATTAACAAAACTAACAAAAGCTACACCAAAGCTATCTCCTATCTTATGTACTGAGGATGCCTGGTGAAGCAACTGGTCTGTGTAAAATGCTCTATACGTGACTGTCAGGCAGAGAGAAAGAAAATGGCAGAGGTGCAGAGGCTTGTGGGATTTGATCAGAAATTATTGTCAATGACTCGAGCCCGTTCAAGCAATGCTTTCATCGCCGACACAATGGCGTGCTGCATTTTTCATAATTCCTCATAGCAATCCCACCTGACCACCATACTGCATGCCCTTGGAGATAAGGGGGGAGCGGAGCTTGTCATAGTAGGAGAGGCAGGCTCCGTGTATGCTTCGGCCTCTGAGTTGGAACTGCTCTCTGTCACAGGCAGAGGGAAAGAGGACCTAAACAGCTACAGGTTGGCCACAACAGCAGCAAGAATACTTATCGCAAAGTATTGGAAGACACAAGATCTACCCACCCTGGAAGAATGGCAGATGAAGGTGATGGACTATATGGAACTGGCGGAAATGACCGGCAGAATCCGAGACCAGGGAGAAGAGTCGGTGGAAGAAGATTGGAAAAAGTTTAAAGTCTACTTACAGAAATACTGTAAAATTAATGAATGTTAGAATGATGTTGGATAAGAAGTTAAGTGGTTTTTAGCTATAATGCTATAAGGAATATGAAAAAATGGATTATTAACAGGTAAAAATTTAATGTTATAATATTTTAAGATTAAAGATTAGGATAAACAAAGAGGGAAAGGATTTGCTGAACTAACAAATTGAACTGGAATACAAAAAAGGGAGGTGTGAGGAGGTCCGGGAAACAAGCAAATGAAAGATAAGTAATGGAAAGATGGAATTGTTTTTAACTATTTTTATTTTGTATTTTTCTTTTTTCTTTCTTCATTTTGTAATACTTTGAAAATCTTAATAAATATCTTTTTTAAAAATAATAAACAGCTACAGGTTGATGTCAATTTCAGGGAAGTTCCTTGAAGTCATCATTAAATAATCTGTCTGTGAGCACTTAGAAAAGGATGCTGTGATTTCGAGGACCCAACATGGGTTTTTCAAAACAAGTCATGCCAGACTACTTTTATTTCTTTTTTTGGATAGAGTTACAAGCTTGGTGGATCAAGGGAATGCTGTGGAGTATCTTGATTTCAAAAAGGCTTTCAACAAAGCTCCCACATGATATTCTTGTGGAGAAGCTGATAAAATGCAGGCTAGATGAGGTTGCTATTAAGTGGATTTGTAGCTGGTTGACTGGCACGACCCCAAAAGTGTTCACCGATGGTTCTTCATTATCCTGGGACAAGCGCAGGATTCTCTTTATAAAGGAATTGAGGAGATACTCGTACAATTTGTGGAGGACTCCAAACTGGGAGGGGTAGCTAATGCCGCTGAAGACAGATGCCGCTGAAGACAGATGCCGCTGAAGACAGATGACCTTAACAGTTTGGAGAACTGGGCCCAAACGAAACAAAATGAATTTTAATAGGGGCAAATGTAGATTCTACACTTAGGCAGGAATAATCAGACAGAGAACTATAGGATAGGGGGCATCTGGTTTGACAGCAGTATAAATATGGGAAAAGCACCTGGGCATCCCCTTTCACCTTAGAAATTGCAGAAATGTTTATTGTGTTGTGACCAGTGTATAGTGATACATTTCCCCCTATTGTTCCAAATTTCCTAAATCAACATCAGAACAGAACAGAACAGAAGAAATATCCAGTGATAACGCTTTTACCCAGTAGGCTGGGTATGGAAAACAATATTTCTAGTATTTGTATGAGTGAATATTTGTTTTCTTAGTCCACATTTAGCATCACTACGCATGTAAATGTGGGAAATATTCCATTACAGTCACAAGTTTAATTTGCTTTGATTTGCTGCCGGGTAGTGGCGTAGCTCAGGCTGCCTTTCAGATGGCATTTCTGTGCACAGATTAGGGCTGCTTTCAACATCCAGCGGAAGGCAGAATGGGAACATGTTTCCTGCTTGGCAGGGGGTTGGACTCGATGGCCCTTGTGGTCTCTTCCAACTCTATGATTCTATGTTTTATCCAGGGCAGCTTCTGAAACCTGAAAATATTTGAAAACACTTCTAAAAAGAAGGGGGGGGTGGCTGTTATTCTTCTTCCATCATACCTTCCCACAGTGTATTCCATTTTTGGTTCCATGTGTCGTCTTCCATGAGAAATTCCAGATTCAACGTAGTAATTTAAAATATCTATTTTATTAACAAGCACACACTCATACACATACAATGCCCATCAACTGAACTGAACTTTCTCAAAGTGAAGAAGCCGACAGCCTTGCCCGGAAGAGTTTGTTAATTTTAAAGCTACAGCAACATGTATCCGCCGCGGCCTGGGAGTGCGCACAAAGAAGGGAATGAAGAGGCGGGATGGAAGTGGGGCATCTGCACACAAGGGGGACTCGGGGAAAGGAGGAGGAAGGAGGCGAGGGGCTGGAGGAGATGAAGGGCGTCTGTGCGCCCCAGGGCTCTGAGCCAGGGAGAGGGAAAGGCGCAGAAACGGGGCTGATCGGAGTGCAGGGAGAAGGGAGGAAAGCGAGGAGGCGCGGAGACGGGAAAGGGGTGCGAGGGGCGGCCCCAAAGGAGGAGTGGGAGGCACGATGATGGGGAGGCGGCTGAAGGTGGGGTCCGGGGAGAGGAAGAGTTGGAAGCATCGCAGGGGAGGGAGCGGGGGGGCTTCATGCCTGCGCGGAAAGGGAGCCGCGTGCTCGGTCGCTTCCTTGTGCGGGAGGAGATGCGCAGAGCGGGGCGGGGGGAGCCAAAGCGAGGCTGCAGAAGAGAGGAAGGGGGGAAGGCAAGGTTAGTCGTTGCCGGGGGGGGGCACGGAAGAAGCTCGAAGCAAAGAACACCAACGTGCGCCGCGTGTTCTGAAATTGCGCAGGAACCCTTTGCCGAGACCCTGGGAGATTCGCAGCGGCCGAGCTCTCTTTTCCGGGGGGGGGGGCAGCCGCGATGGCGCCGGCCGGGTTCGCGCTGCTGGGTCGGGGCGCTCCCCCCGCACTCCTCTTCCTCCGCCAGTGCCCCCCCAAAAAAAACACGCTTCCCCCACCGATCCCTTCCAGCATCCAAAGCAGATTTGGAGGCTCAAAGCAAGTTCGTGAGAACAAAAATTGCTGAGCAACCAGAAAGTGTGATGTTCAAAAGTTTAATTTATCCGCTCTACATTCAAATCCTGAGCAACAAATTCTAAGTACTATATGGCACAAGAGGAAAATATGGCAAGGGAAAAAACTGTTAGTAGCAGGCATCGGAGTAGGCAGGATTTTTTAAGGGAGGGTGGAATATACTCAGTTGCACAGTGATTTCATGCTCTTTATTGCAGCTCCTAAAACAGTGAATGAATGCCCCCCCCCACCTCAGGCTTTATAAACATTATTTACACAATGGGTTCCTTCTGATTGGCTGATTCTGCTTCCCTCCTGGAGCCTGATTGGTCTTCTCCTGCAGGCCAGTCAGGTGTTGCATTCTAGGATCCTACCTGCCTCTTGTTCTAGGATCCAAGCTCAGTCCATAACACCCCTCCCCTCTATGTTCCCCTGGCACCCGGGAGGTTAGCATTCATAGTCGCCAAGGTACGCCGGGTGCCTTCATATGCGTTGTGGTCAGGGGTGTCCCTCGGCGGGGGTTTCTGGTTCTGGCTCTCATTCCGGCGCTGCCGGCTGCAACGGGGCCTTTTGGTCGGGCGCCGCCGGTCTGCTCAGTCATGGGTCTGGTTCCTGTGGCCGCTCAGCCTTGGGGGTCACCCCTGGCCTTACTAGTTCTGCCTCCCTTGCCTGCTGCTCCTGCTCATGCAGGAGAAGAACCCAGGAAGGATGATTCAGGTGGATAGCTGTGTTGATCTGACATAGTCATAATAAATAACAAGATGAAAGATGAAAAAATATTTTTAAATAATTCCAGTGCCACCTTAAAGATCAACTAAATATAAGCTTTCAAGATATGTTGTTGTTGTTTAGTCGTTTAGTCGTGTCCGCCTCTTTGTGACCCCCTGGACCAGAGCACTCTATTCCAGACCACACCTGGCACTCCTGTCTTCCACTGCCTCCTGCAGTTTGGAGTACCACTCTATTCCAGACCACACCTGGAATACTGTGTCCAATTCTGAGTGCCACAATTTTGGAAGGATATTGACAAGCTGGAAAGTGTGCGGAGGAGGACCATCAAGATGGTCAAGGGTCTGGAAAGCAAGCCTGATGAGGAACGGTTGAGGATGCTGGGCATGTGTGGCCTGGGAAAGAGGAGGCTGAGAGGAGATATGAGAGCCATCTTCAGATATCTAAAATGCTGTCACATGGAGGAAGAACTTTCTCACAGTAAGAGCTGCTTGACTCCCAGGAGAGGTGGTGGACCTCCATGGAGGTTTTAAAGCAGAGATTTGTGGTATGTCATGTTTCAGCAATGATACATTCAGATCAGCCTCAGTGCTCTAATAATACAGTACATGCAGATCTCACTATCTGAACACAATGCATTCTCAGGAAATTGTTAGGTAATGATTTCCATTGATTCCTATGGGAAAATTTATAATGCATTCCTGACCACAGAATTTTAATCCCAAGATGACAAAAGAAACATTGGGAAAACCCTCTGCAACCTTCAAAAAGGCAGACAAGGGAGGAAAAAAATGTTGTATTATTGATCCAATCTCTCCACCCCCTTCCTCCCCACTCCCTTCTGGTTTCTGGTTTCTGGAAGATTGGCTGCTGTGGACCAGCAATTCACAAAAAGGTTGTTTAATGCTCTTATTCTTTTACACACACAGGTCCGACTGTTTGGATATCTGTATGGCAAGGTTTCGTACAACAAGAGTTTGGATAGCAGGACTTGCATGTATTATGCCGGCCTTAATTGTTAGTCATTCAACTAACTTGCTAGATGCTGCCTGTGATGTTAGCGTGCAGCCTTGAGCAGATGGGCCACTTTCACACCCACTGTCACTGTGATTTTCTGAATCTTGAGCCTAGCTAGGATGCATCAATTACAGGGGGGAATAGCAAGATCCCACAGACTCCCAAGTATAGAGATATGGGTGTCTTCAAAGACCCCCCACCCCCGATGGACAAATCACTCAACAATGTCTTGTTGTAGGGGAAGAGAGAGGGAGAGAAATAGAGGCAGCACCGGCCTGTTACTTTTTAAGGAGAAGGAAGGTGCACGAAGGATGCAGAAGGGCCCACAGTGGAGGCACTGAGCCCCGAGAAAGTATTTCAGAGGAATATCAGGAACCTGAAGATACATAAAGGAAAGCAAAACCCCCAGCTGGACTATATATTTAGCACTGTGGTTAATGGAGCCTGATTTTAAGCTCCAGGGTAGTTATTAACAAGCTCCCTGAGGAGATAGCTCTCTCTGTTAGTCCCTCTCCTACTATCAAGAAGGAACTCGCTGACATAGTGTGTGGGACTCTCTGCCCACTCAGCCAGTTTAATCACGTTTCACAGGACATCTAGTGCACTGGAGGTCGACAATGGACACTGAGTTCAGATTTAATCTTATAGTCATAGGATTCTGTTTGCTTCTGTGTTGTAATTAAAATATTAATTGAATTTTGATTTTGCAAGAAGTTCAAAATGAAACAAGTAAAACGCACCAGGCAGCCAATAACTATACATGCATCTAAAAGGTCCTCATTAGCTTCTTTGAACTCACTATTACTTACTAACATGGGTGGACTAGATGATCCTCAGGGTCCCTTCCAACTCTGCGATTCTATGATTCTGTGAAAGAGGACCGCTGTAATCAGAGTCTTTTTGTAGGAGATTCTCTTCTATAAAACAAGATTTTAATTCCATTGATTTTGTGGAATAGGGACTGACAGGCACGCAGATGGCAGCAATAGTCGGAACATATTTTGGCTGGCTTTTTCAGGATGGATTCTAATTGAACTCTGCTTGCTTTTAGCATACCTCACCTAGGTTCTGCAAAGCAGCGCAGAGAAGCCTTGACATCTCAGCTGCTTTGCTGAGATGTTTCTGCCTCTGGTTTTGTTAATGTTCAATGAGGGGTGGGAGGATAAGCGCCAAGCCTCATTTAAAAGTGTTTCTGCGACAAGCTGCTTTGTGCATTGACAAGAAGGGATTAGAAGGTCTGTTTCTTTCTGCCATGGCTTCTAGTACAGCTTTCCAGTTTTTCAGTCTCACTGTGCTTTTTGCACATTGCACCTCATTTTCAGTAAGTTCCGATCCAGCGACACTCCTCCCTCTTCGTTGCCTCTTTCGGTGGTTGCTAAACACAATGAATAATTTTCCTTCTTTTTTAGGTCGACCGCTTACTACCGGATGAAGGTAGGATGCTGGAACTCATTAAGATGCTCAGAGTAAAACATTTTTTATTTCGTTTACTCTTTGTGTCTGAAACTTAATGTTATTGCTTGTATTGATTAGATGCTGATGCTGATGCTGGTGAACTGAGAAAGGACATCCCTGAAATAAATTCAGGTGGGTTGCACTGAGACAGTTAACACTTGGATAAACATACTCCCAACCCAAAAAACTTTTCTTTTTCAAATAAAGTGGGCTCTATGAACATTTTTGCACTTTGCTCTGCTCCTTTCTTTGGCATCAAGAACATTGCATTTTATGGTGTTATGGGTTTGTGGTGTGCAGTTTGATGTGTGTGTTGGGGTAACACTCCCAAGATTCAAGAGCTGAAACCGTATTCTCTCCTTGCCCCTTGGATAAATGTTCTTGCTGGCCAAGAGATAATTTAACTGTTCGGATAAAACTTTGAAAAGAATCCAAAGGGAATATTCTCAACAGAATTCAAGAAGTTTACCTAGTGGACATTTTCTTTTAGCCGTGGGTTAACTCCTTTCAGCTCTCCTCTGAATGTGTTTCTTTTCTCCCAAGTTTTAAAAAAACTTCAAATATTTTTGAGCTTTTCAACAAAAGTTGTGTGTGTGTGTGTTTCCCACGCCCCCTTCTTAAGCAAAATCAAATCAAAACAAAGCCAAGCCAAGCCACTTACCTTTGAAAGGAAGAGTGGTACTCTGAGTAGGAAATGAAGAATATGAACACGCACAGAAATGGCATTTCCAGTTAAGACTTTCTTTTTGGAAGGAAATGCGAAGCAGTCAGGACCTGGCAGGGAAGGTTGCCTAGGAGGGAGGATAGGCCCCGTTAGAAGCCACAAGTGAATTTGGAGTGGTGGTGCTAAACGCATATGGCCATGTTGCAGATATTAGTTTGGTGCACTTTGAATAGAATTGTTAGTCATGTTGTGAGTCTTTATAGTAAGCATATTCAAAGAGTGAACACATTATTTTAAATATCTGATGAATCATCTTTTGCATTTTGATTATGCCATCTTTTTTATTTTCTTCTAGCTGCTGGACTCACCCTCTTCCAGGGGGATATTGTACTGCCTGTAAGTGGTGTTGTTTTAGGTCATACATTTTTTCTTCTTATTTGTGTGCCCAAAGGTAAAGCATCTAATCTTAACCTTTCTCCATTTTCAATAGAGAAGCCGTAGTGCGCTCAAAGATGAGGCTTACCGATGGCAGTTCCCTATTCCATTCATTCTGGGTGACAGCCTTGGTAATACAGCCTTTGTATCACTACAATACTGCCGAGGATAAAATCTGATCCTGTTGTGATTCCTCTAGCTGTGCCTCCAACATTGCACAGGGGGTTGGACTAGATGACTCTTGGGGTCCTTTCCAACACTACAATCCTTTTATTCTATGACTCAGAAGATCCCTGTCCTGCACAAATAAATAACTCAACCTGCTAAAACAAAAAAAATTCCTTCCAGTAGCACCTTAAAGACCAACTAAGTTAGTTCTTGGTATGAACTTTCGTGTGCATGCACACTTCTTCAGATACACATGTGTGCATGCACACGAAAGCTCATACCAAGAACTAACTTAGTTGGTCTTTAAGGTGCTACTGGAAGGAATTTTTTTTGTTTTGACTATGGCAGACCAGCACGGCTACCTATCTGTAACTCAACCTGTTAAGCAGTTCCTCTGAACAATTCCCTGCCTTTTACGTAAAGGTAATCTGATGTCCCTCTTTAAACTGCAGTAATCATAGGAACATGGGGAGCTGTCTTACATCCTAGGCCAGGGATCGGCAACGTGCAGCCCATGGGCCGGAAGCAGCCCATGGAGGCCGTTTAACCGGCCCACGAGCCACCCCAGAACCGAGCTGCCCGCTCAGCGAGTCCCGGCGCGCTGCGCTAAACTGGTGCAGTGGGAACTCACTTCTGCAGCGCCAGAAATCACGGGCACGCTCGCTTGTGCATGCGCGCATGCGATTCAGCGCGATCCAGTCCACGGAGGGATCTCCACGGGACCAATCCGTCTCAGGCAAGGTAAACCTTGCCGACCCCTGTCCTAGGCAGGTCCATTGAGCTCAGTATTGCACACTGAGTGGCAGCATTGGCTCCCCCAGGTTTCAGGCAGTGGGCCTCATCCCCACCTGGGGATGCCACTCGGGGTTGGGCCTGGGACCTTCTGCATTCCAAGCACATGCCCTGCTCCTGAGCTAAGGCCATTCCTCTCAGTAGATTTGTCCTGGTCTGGTGCATGTAATGTCTTTTGTTTTGTAGCTGTGTGATTTGTGCTCATATTGTATTGTGATGGCCATTGGCTATAAACAATAAAAATGACTGATTGATTGATTGATTGGTAGTGGCAGTCAATCAATTTCTCATTGATTCTCATAGATTTCTCATGAACTGCTTTTTTTTAAAGATCTGAATGCCAAAGGGGTAATTCTTAGAGCGCTTGAAGGATTCCAGTTAAAATCCTGTGTGGATTTCAAACCATATAATGGGGAGCAGTCGTATATAATATTTCAGAAGTTAGAAGGGTAAGTAAAAACACATTGGTGCTTGGGGTTTTTCTTTTTTAATTTTTAAAATTAAAAACACATTTATTCAAAGGTTGCACTGCCATGAAACCACAGAATGATCACCTTGTTTTCCAGAGACATTTAGGTATGGGACAGTGAATCATATTGTTCTAGTTTCTTCCAAAGAGATGGAAGCTTATGAAATCTTGGCTGTGAATCATTGCTCAAGTACTCTTTTGTTTGGACAACCTTGTAGAGATAGGCAACCTGTGAATTTCATTTTCTCTCAATTCATCTAACTTCAGCAGCGAGGTTGTTTGTTTGTTTAAGTTGCATGAAAATTTGTACACTTTTTGTATGTAACTTTGTCTAATAGAGGCACTTTTGCAAGCAGTTCCCCCCAGCAGCTCCCCTATAAAGCTGCTTGAATGATATTTTCACCCGTATTTGCTTTTTTGTGCACTCTTCCCCCTAATATACAAAAGCATTTTCTGTCTGGAGAAGTGCGAAATCTGAAAGGTAGCTGTGCTTTGGTTGGTCATGCTGGCTTGATCCCTGAGATGCTGCGCCAGAACACTACTAAAAAGCCTCTTCCTGTACTTCCTTCCACCTTCCTGAACCTGGTTGGTCCTCCCTCCTCTGCCTCTAGCCTTGTGTGGAATGAAGATTTCCAGCTGTGCCATCACCATTCTAGTTGTGCAGATAAGGTGAATGTGTTGGGGGTGGGGTGGATCTTGTGTGCTCACAGCCTCATGGAAAAAGAAAAATGGAGAGGAATGATAAAAGGCCAGAGGCAGAAGGAGGGCCAGAGAGTGAGTTTGCAGAGGACATAAGGAGGACTCTCCACCCCTTCAGATACTTGGCCATGAAGGGGACGTGCGGATGGTGGGAGGAAGTGTGGTCCAGAGGAAAAAGGAACATGGGAAGAGTCTGGCTGCTGGATCCGGCCAAACAGGGCTCCGCATGTCGGAGGTTATTGAGCTACTGTATCTGTATTGCAGGGGGTTGGTCTAGATGACCCTGGGACCCATGCCCTGCTCTACAATTCTATGATTCAACAAAACCAGATGACAGGAGCTGGCCTTGATACAGCCCATCACTATTTCTTTTCTTTTCTTTTAAAAACTGTATTTTACATGCAGTTTGGCCCTATGAATGCTGAATACAAAAAGAAGAGGGAACAGAAAGGCAAAGGAATAATTAAAATTAATTTAAAAGGTGTGGTCAAAAATAGTTACAAATTGTTATTGGTTTCCACATATAAAGAGTGTTGTCCAAAATGAAAAGCTGAAAGTTTATCCCTGTCAAGCACCTTTACTTTTCATTTGCGTTTTTCAGATGTTGGTCTAAAATTGGAGATGTAAAAGGAGGCCAGAACCTTTCTGTTGGTGCAGGATGTGACACCAAAGGCATCATATCTCATGAGATCTTACATGCTTTGGGACGTATCCATGAGCAGACACGGCCAGACAGAGATGATTATGTCGAGATCTGGTGGGATCACGTGCTTCCAGGTTGGTGTTCAGGCCCTTGAAATGGGTTGGGATGTGGACATTGCAGCTGCTTTGTTTCTCCTCCTGCAGATGCCAGAGGAAATGGGGGGAAGTCCTTTGGAGAACAGATGGGTGATTGATCTCGCCTCTGGTGCTATGTCTTATTCCTCTGCCTTATACGAAACATTCATTCAAGGGAATATACATATGCATGCTCAGCAGTTAGAACAGGCATAGGCAAACTCGGCCCTCCCGATGTTTTTGGGACTACAGCTCCCATCATCCCTGACCACTGGTCCTGTCAGCTAGGGGTCATGGGAGTTGTAGTCCCAAAACATCGGGAGGGCTGAGTTTGCCTATGCCTGAGTTAGAACAATTGAAATGGTTTATTGTCAAGAAATTTGAAGCTACTGAAATGGCTTTACAATTGTCCATCTTCCTAAGTGGTTTATTATTATTATTATTATTATTATTATTATTACCCAAGATTGGTTACAACAATGTAAAAATACAATATTAAATATTTTGTAAACGCCTTTAATTTCATATATCCCTAAATATACTGTAATATTCACACATTATATGCCCACAAAACCAGGCTTTCTACTAAGTGTAACTCAACAGACAATCCCAATTCTCTGATTATTATATATGTATGATGCATATGATCCTTCATGGATCACTGCCTTGCCGTGGCGAAGGGGCCTGAATAACTCAGAGAAGCTATGAGCTATGCCGTGCAGGGCCACCCAAGATGGACAGGTCATAGTGGAGAGTTTTGACCAAACGTGATCCACCTGGAGCAGGAACCGGCAAGCCACTCCAGTATCCCTGCCAAGAAAACTCCATGGACAAAGACAACAGGCATATAAAAGTTATGACGCTGGAAGATGAGCCCCTCAGGTCGGAAAGTGTCCAACATGCTACTGGGGAAGAGCGGAGGACAAGTACAAGTAGATCCAGAGCTGATGAAGCGGCTGGGCCAAAGCCGAAAGGACGCTCAGTTGCGGATATGCATGGAAGCGAAAGGAAAGTCCAATGCTGTAAAGAAAAATATTGCATAGGAACCTGGAATGTAAGAACCATGGACCTGGGTAAGTTGGATGTGGTCAAAAATGAGATGGCAAGAATGAATATTGACATCTTGGGCATCAGTGAACTAAAATGGATGGGAATGGGCGAATTCAGTTTGGATGACTATCATATCTACTACTGTGGACAAGAAACCCGTAAAAGAAATGGAGTGGTCCTCATAGTCAACAAAAGAGTGGTGAAAGCTGTACTGGGATGCAATCTCAAAAATGATAGAATGATCTCGATACGAATCCAAGGCAGACCTTTTAACATCACAGTAATCCAAGTTTATGCACCAACTACTAGTGCTGAAGAAACTGAAATTGACCAATTCTATGAAGACTTACAAGACCTTATAGAAGTGACACCAAAGAAGGATGTTCTGCTCATAATAGGGGATTGGAATGCTAAAGTAGGGAGTCAAGAGATAAAAGGAACAACTGGCAAGTTTGGCCTTGGAGTTCAAAACGAAGCAGGGCAAAGGCTAATAGAGTTCTGTCAAGAGAACAAGCTGGTCATCACAAACACTCTTTTCCAACAACACAAGAGACGACTCTACACATGGACATCACCAGATGGGCAGCATCGAAATCAGATTGATTATATTCTCTGCAGCCAAAGATGGAGAAGCTCTATACAGTCAGCAAAAACAAGACCTGGAGCTGACAGTGGCTCAGATCATCAGCTTCTTATAGCAAAATTAAACTTAAACTGAAGAAAGTAGGAAAAACCACTGGGCCGGTAAGATACAATCTAAGTCAAATCCCTTATGAATACACAGTGGAAGTGAGGACCAGGTTTAAGGATTTAGATTTGGTGGACAGAGTGCCTGAAGAACTATGGATGGAGGCTCGTAACATTATACAAGAGGCAGCAACTAAAACCAACCCCAATGAAAAGGAAATGCAAGAAAGCAAAGTGGCTGTCCAACGAGGCCTTACAAATAGCGGGGGAGAGAAGGCAAGCAAAATGCGAGGGAGATAGTGAAAGATACAGGAAATTGAATGCAGATTTCCAAAAAATAGCAAGGAGAGACAAGAAGGCCTTCTTAAACGAGCAATGCAAAGAAATAGAGGAAAACAATAGAACGGGGAAAACCAGAGATCTGTTCAAGAAAATTGGAGATATGAAAGGAACATTTTGTACAAAGATTTCCATAATAAAAGACAAAAGTGGAAAGGACCTAACAGAAGCAGAAGACATCAAGAAGAGGTGGCAAGAATACACAGAGGAACTATACCAGAAAGAAATTGATGTCTCGTACACCCCAGGTAGTGTGGTTGCTGACCTTGAGCCAGACATCCTGGAGAGTGAAGTCAAATGGGCCTTAGAAAGCACTGCAAATAACAAGGCCAGTGGAAGTGATGGTATTCCAGCTGAATTATTTAAAATTTTAAAAGATGATGCTGTTAAGGTGCTACACTCAATATGCCAGCAAATTTGGAAGACTCAGCAGTGGCCAGAGGATTGGAGAAGATCAGTCTACATCCCAATCCCAAAGAAGGGCAGTGCCAAAGAATGCTCCAACTACCGCACAATTGCACTCATCTCACACGCTAGCAAGGTTATGCTTAAAATTCTACAAGGCAGGCTTAAGCAGTATGTGGACCGAGAACTCCCAGAAGTGCAAGCTGGATTTAGAAGAGGCAGAGGAACCAGAGACCAAATTGCAAACATGCGCTGGATTATGGAGAAAGCTAGAGAGTTCCAGAAAGACATCTACTTCTGCTTCATTGACTATGCAAAAGCCTTGGACTGTGTCGACCACAGCAAACTATGGCAAGTTCTTAAAGAAATGGGAGTGCCTGATCACCTCATCTGTCTCCTGAGAAATCTCTATGTGGGACAAGAAGCTACAGTTAGAACTGGATATGGAACAACTGATTGGTTCAAAATTGGGAAAGGAGTACGACAAGGCTGTATATTGTCCCCCTGCTTAGTTAACTTATATGCAGAATTCATCATGCGAAAGGCTGGGCTGGATGAATCCCAAGCCGGAATTAAGATCGCCGGAAGAAATATCAACAACCTCAGATATGCAGATGACACAACCTTGATGGCAGAAAGTGAGGAGGAATTAAAGAACCTTTTAATGAGGGTGAAAGAGGAGAGCGCAAAATATGGTCTGAAGCTCAACATAAAAAAAACCGAAGATCATGGCCACTGGTCCCATCACCTCCGGGCAAATAGAAGGGGAAGAAATGGAGGCAGTGAGAGATTTTACTTTCTTGGGCTCCATGATCACTGCAGATGGTGACAGCAGTCACGAAATTAAAAGACACCTGCTCCTTGGGAGAAAAGCAATGACAAACCTAGACAGCATCTTAAAAAGTAGAGACATCACCTTACCAACAAAGGTCCATATAAGTTAAAGCCATGGTTTTCCCAGTAGTGATGTATGGAAGTGAGAGCTGGACCATAAAGAAGGCTGATCGTTGAAGAATTGATGCTTTTGAATTATGGTGCTGGAGAAGACTCTTGAGAGTCCCATGGACTGCAAGAAGATCAAACGCATCCATTCTGAAGGAAATCAGACCTGAGTGCTCACTGGAAGGACAGATCCTGAAGCTGAGGCTCCAATACTTTGGCCACCTCATGAGAAGAGAAGACTCCCTGGAAAAGACCCTGATGTTGGGAAAGATGGAGGGCACAAGGAGAAGGGGACGACAGAGGACGAGATGGTTGGATAGTGTTCTCGAAGCTACAACCATGAGTCTGACCAAACTGCGGGAGGCAGTGGAAGACAGAAGTGCCTGGCATGCTCTGGTCCAGGGGGTCACAAAGAGTCGGACACGACTAAACGACTAAACAACAACATGATGCACATGTTTTCAAGAACCAATTTGTTACTTTCGTGGTCAATTACCAAAAATTAAATTAAAAACAAAATTGAATGGCCCTGGGATCTTCAGATGAAGAGTGGTATACAATTATTATTATTGTTATTTTTATTGTTATTATTGTTATTATTATTAGCATGAAGAACAGTCTGACATTTGCAACACAATTAATCCCATTTAGCTTAATTAAAGTACATTCATGCCTTGGCTAGTGACAATTAAAAATGACAACTTTTCATTATCCTGGAATCATTATTGAAAAGTAAGTGATCCATATTTTTAATTCCTGGCTATTGGCCACCATGGGAGTTGTAGCCCACAGCAGCTGGAGGGCACCATGTTGGCTGTCCCTGTTTCAAAATATTGTTTATTTACACCTCGCCTTTTTCCCTGTCAGGACTCAAGGTGGCTTACAGCTAAAAATAAGCAAATCAAGTAAATAAATAAAAATATTTAACTAACTGACCAACTGTGTCACAGATAGCTTGGTTCTGCCCCCCCTCCTAAATCTTGACTTTGCCCATGCCTCTACCTGAAGAGACAGACATTTAAACCTGGTTTGTATTTGAGCCAGGTGTGCAAGGAAACATACATTATAGATCAAAATGAAGGCTTGTTTTCTCCTGCTCTGGAGGGTAGGACCCAGCAATGGCTTCCAGTTACAAGGAAGGAGATTCTGACTAAATATCAGGAAGAACTTTCTGGCAGTAAGAGCTGTTGGACAGTGGGAGATTGTGGACTCTTGTTCCTTGGAGACTTTTAAGCAGAAGTTGGATGGTCATCTGTCATGGATGCTTTAGCTGAGACTCCTGCATTTCTGGGGGTTGGACTAGATGACCCTAAGGTCCCTTCCAACTCTACTGTTTTATGATTCTATAAGAACTGGACTCAAATATTCATGGGGGCAGGGTGAAATGTCTCGTCCCTTGACAATGGAATTGATCTTTGGGGAATCAAAATTCTCAGACCTTTTGAGCATGCCCATTGGTGGGAGGGTCTTTCTAAATTGCCCAAGAGTTTGGTTGTTTGTGGCACTGAACATTCAGTTACAAGTGGCCCTGGACTGTTGAAGGGAGCCAAGCTTCGTAGAAGTAGAAGCTTGGCTCCCTTCAGTAGTCCAAGGCCACTTGTAACTGAATGTTCATTGCCACAAACAACCAAACTCTTGGGCAATTTAGAAAGAAGATTTGGAAAACCCCTAAACCATGGTAAAAATATAGGCTGATGTGTATTAGATTCCTGTTTATATGTTTTTCTTGTAAAAGCCATGTGCACTTTTTTAAACATTCTGGCATGACATTTTCATGCATATTCCTCTGCAGTTGAAAAACAGTGCTTTCTCGTAAGGTAACAGCAGTGAGTTGATGGTTGATGAGAGATTTGAAACTGTGAACTCTAGCAACATAGTTCATGCTCTTAACTAGCACACATTAGTTGAGGTCATAATTTTTCTACACATATTTGTTCAGAGTGTGACCCCCCCCCAGTCATCTTACGAGTCGAAGGTGGCAGCCATGGCCCTGATGAAATCATGACATCCTGTTCCATAATCAAGTCAGCTGGCAGAGCGTGGATTGCAAGCCCTTTGCGAGCACTTCCAGAAAGTAACTGTGTGGTGTTTATTCTGCATGCAGATCAAGAGTACAACTTTAAGAAAGTGGTTGATGACGATATAACAGACTTGAATACTCCTTATGATTACGAGTCCATCATGCACTATGGTCCATCTTCATTTAGTAAAAATGAAAGCTTAAAAACAATTACTACGAAAATACCAGAATTTAATAACATTATTGGCCAACGCTTGGATTTCAGCGCTTCTGACCTGGAAAGACTCAATCGAATGTACAACTGCAGTAAGTCATGATGAGACAGTGAAGTTTGCAGAGTGAAACTGAAACCATTGCCTTTGAATAAAACTGATTAAATGGTTTTGTTAAATGGAAATGGGAAAAGCACTTCTCTTTAGTTTTTAAATATTTCTTTCTGTATTTTTACTCTCCCCTCACTCCTGCCCCAGCGAGAACTGTCATCCTTTTGGACCAATGTGATTTTGAGTCAGCTGATATATGTGGCCTGGTTGAGAAAACCAGTGGAGATACCAACTGGATTCGTAAGAAGAGTGGCCAAGACCATACCCTCTCTGGACGCTGCAAAGGTAAACTGGGGACAATCCCCTCCTTCTTTCATGGGACCAGTTCTTTGCTTCTTGATCACTGTGTTATCTCCTGTTGACTCAGTGGAAAGTCTGTCACAACTCTTGGCTTTGCCATTTTCCTGAGCTTCCGATCATCTTGGCCCAAAGTGAAGTGGAAGACATGCCAAATGAGTCTTTAATCCGGACAGCGGTTCCAGTAGTTACATTTTATACTTCTAAGAATAGTCTGAGACTAGTCAATTAAAGTGTGCAAAACTAACGTAAGGAGCATTTGCAACAGGAGCAATTGCTTCCAGTTCTGCACTTCTATGATCCTAGATTTGTTGTGTTCATCATTCAAGTGAAAGGGAATTGAATGAGGCCACTTAAGGAGCTGGACTCCAGCAGCTTTAATGCAATGAAGTTTTTGTGGTGTTGGAGAAGGACCACATTTGTGTCAGCAGCAGAGTGTCCTGTTCAACCCCCAAGTGAAAGAATTGGACTCCTTGATGCCAGATTTGCATCAATTTATTGTTTTGCATAGAATCTGTGTGCAAAAGAATAAAAGGACAGAGACCTGGCTCCACAAAAGAGACGCCAGGGAGAGAACCGTCTTGCAGGAGGACTCCATTCTGGGTGACCCCAGTGCTGCACCAGATGATACTGGAGAAGGGAAAACGGGGAAGCATCTGCCCCCTCCATTTGATAGAATTCACTGAACTTCAGATCTGTGGGGCTACTTCCGCTTCTGGAGCCTAGCCAGTGGCTTAAGCCCTGCCAGTGGTGAGGTGGGGGGTGGGCCTTTACTCCCCTGTCTCCCAGTTCGCCCCCTCACATTGCAGCCAGTAGGTCAGAATTCACCACATCAGCTTGAGGGTTGGCATAGTTGAGGAACCATTTAGCAGGAGCGGGCGGGGGATGAGGATTCTGTAGATCCTCTACTATTCCTCAACACACACAAACACACACACCCCGACCTGACCTGTTTGGTTCCCTCTGCAAGTGGGACCAGGGCCAAGTCACTGCCTCTCTGCCAGCAAAGCAGCCCTTTTGTCACATCCAACAGCCTTTGGCTGGCTTCAGGGCTGCAGCCTTCATTGCATACAATTTAAGAAGAAGGAAAAAACACATAACTTGCCAATATTCGTTCCAAAGAAGAGTCTCCTTCTTTGAAGGTCTTTAAGCAGAGGCTTGACAACCATATGTCAGGAGTGCTCTGATGGTGTTTCCTGCTTGGCAGGGGGTTGGACTCGATGGCCCTTGTGGTCTCTTCCAACTCTATGATTCTATGATTCATTCCATTTGATAACTGAAGTGAATGAGGGCCTTGGAAGCCTTCGCTTGGTAAGAAGAATCTAACAGAGACCCATAGCCCCTCGAAGAGCCATAATACCCAGGACTCTTAGGAAAGCCAATGACTGCTCATCCATTTTAATACCATGAAGCAGATATGCCCCTAAGTGCTCAGTTTTTTCAAATTTTTGGAACCCAGCGAAAATAAAATTCTCAGTATTTGTAAGTTATAAAAAATTACAGACATTGTGATTCAGGTTGTACATAGCTCATTGGGTAGAGCATGAGACTCTTAATCTTGGAGTCGCTGGTTCAAGCCCCACGTTGGGCAAATGATTCCTGTATTGCAGGGGTTGGACTAGATGATCCTTGTGGTCCCTTCCAGGTCTATTATTCTGTGGTTCTAAGAGGTAGCATATGCATAATAATGCTTGATATGCCTTCAGTAGCGCTAGCTTCTTCCCCACAGATGCCGGCTATTTCATGTACTTTAACACCAGTTTTGGGAAGAGAGGCGAAACAGCGATTTTAAAATCCCGCATTCTGTACCCAAAGAGGAGAAACCAGTGTCTCCAGTTCTTCTTCAAAATGACAGGAAGCCTCTGGGACAGGCTTTTCATCCAGGTGGTCAAGGATGATGGCACCGGAGAAGTCCGCAGGCTGGTTAAAGCCAAAACATTTCAAGGTAATGTTGGAAACCAGTAAAAGATTTTTGGAGTGTTCTAAGCATACAGTGATACCTCGGGTTAAGAACTTAATTCGTTCCAGAATTCCGTTCTTAACCTGAAACGGTTCATAACCTGAGGCGTGCTAATGGGGCCTCCTGCTGCCACTGACATGCGATTTCCATTCTTATCCTGGGGCAAAGTTCTTAATCTGGAGCAACCATTTCCTGGTTAGCGGAGTTTGTAACCCAAAGCGTCTATAACCTGAAGCGTCTGTAACCCTAGGTACCAGTGTACCTTGTTTTAAGACCACAGCAAGATTTTATATCATTTTGGCAGTGACTGCAATGGCCAAGGAGTTTGGTGGTCATATATTTGGAGCAGATTCTCACTCACGAATAACTCCTGCACAGGAAAGAGATGTAGGAAATATGAGCAGCATCCTTTATGCAGACTGTGCAAGTGTCTGTTTCACCAGATTTCCCAGGGTTCTAAAATGCACAGAACCCTGCATCAGATAACCACCTTCCATTTGGCCACAGAGGCAAGCTGCTGCTTCCTGCTGTCCCCTCGTCAGTTTACTGCCTCTCTTAGTGGCACATGTGTGAATTATTCTAGGTTAATACAGCATTACTAAGAACTGGAGTCAAGCAGCAATGGGTTCCAGGAAATAAGTTATGCTTTTACAATTAATGGCAATTTTGCTATCAGCAGATACAGCAGGTTTTAGGGATAAATGATTCAGATAATTTCTGGGTCATTCCACTTCTGCATATTTTGGGGGGCTGGAGTCTCTTTTGTCCAATTTCAGCAATAATGTGCAGGTGTTTAGTTTTTGTTTTTTAAAGAAGAATTCCACATAAAACTCTGATATGAGCGCCAACATGGTCATCTTTCTCATATGCCAACACAGAAGTCACAGCGTCTGTCTTTACTTCCCATAGGAGACAGCGACCATAACTGGAAAATTGCCCATGTGACTCTGAAAAATAAAAAAAAATTCAGGTATCTCTTCCATGGCCTAAAAGGCAATCCCGATGACTCATCTGGAGGAATTTTCATTGATGACATCACCCTGAGTGAAACGCGGTGCCCCAGTGCTGTCTGGCTTATTCGCAACTTCTCTCATCTTCTTAGAACTGCCCCCGAAGACTATGCCATGCTCAGTCCCCGGTTTTATAGCTCTGAAGGCTATGGTTTTGGCATAACGTTGTATCCCAGAGGCCAGAGTGATTCTGCTTCGGCAAACTACACAAGGATTTCTTTTCACCTGGCTAGTGGAGAAAACGATGGTGTCCTCGAGTGGCCAGCTCTGAACAGGCAGGTGACCATCAAGGTGCTAGACCAGCATACCAATCTCAAGGAAAGGAGGTCCATCGAGAGGAGTTTCACAACAGATGAATCACAGGTTCTGCCAGGTAGGTAAGGCAAGAGGGGAGTGAGTGGTTCAATGTTTTTGCCTCCCTGAGATGCTGGAATACAAAATGCCAGAGCTTTTGCTCAAGATTACAAGCAAATGTCACAGAAGATGCTGAGAGTAAAATTCTTTATTTGTGTGCTGTTAATTCAGCAAAGGACGAATTTGCTCTTTAACAATCCAGGGAGACAGGGAATGAAGCATAAACTGTGATTTTAAAAAACCCGTCACAGAAACAAGTTTGTAACTGGAACAAATCTTTGGTGTAAAATGCTTCCTTTAAGGCACATTGATACCTTCAGGTAATAATAATACTATGACATTTGAAGGACATAAAGCAACTGAAAGCAATATAGCAAATCAAAGGAGGGAGCTGCTGCTCCTCCTCCCTCTTGTCCCTCTTGACATGCTCTGAGGGGGCAGTTGGAAAAGTAGCAAAAGCAGCAAGGAGGAAGCCATGAGGGGGCTAGCGGGGGCTGAGATTCTGCTCTTGGTGCCAGAGCTTCCCTCTGCAATGCCTCCCTCATTCTTTCATCTGATTCATCTCCTGCAGCTTTCCCACCAAATTTGTTCTCAAGGCAGCATGCTAAAGTTAAAACCAACACAACGGCTTAACAAAGGAAGGGTATTTTTTCCTCCCAGCTAGAAAACTCTATCTGGAATTCAACATAGTGCTAAGTGGCGTATGATAAGGTTGCCAGACGTCCCCGTTTCCCAGGCACAGTCCCCGGATTTACAAATCAACCCCCTGGCAAAATCTATTTATAAGAATAATTTTTATTAACCGACCAATCACATCAAATCAAACCAAATTACATAAATTCCAAATTACACAGCCGAATTTTAAATTTTTGTTGGGGGTACCCATATTTCAAGTTCCGAAGGGGGTCCAATCATCTTCTTGCTTCTTGCTGCTGTTTTAATGTCCACAAATCTGACCATATGATGTTCACAGTACTATCCAGTCCTTTCTTGTTGTTTTTCCACATCTCTTCTTATTATTTTCATATATTTTTCCTTTCTCTTTGTGACCTCTTATAGTCTCCCCAAGCGGGTTAAAACAGTTTGTAATCCTGTGTGGATTTTTTTTTAATCCAGTAGCCATATCCAGACGTTTTCCGTATAACATCACTTCTATAAATCAAAACAGTCTTAGCGTCGTTAATCTTCACAAATCTGTCGCCTTTCTCAAACCTCTGAGGAGATTCACCAGGAATGCAGTCTGAAAACAAGTCCATTCTTCCTCCCGGCTATAAATCCTTCGGCAAGATGGCGTCTCTGAATTAATTGCTGTGCCAATCCAAAAGCTCTTGTTCCTACTCAATCTCCATAAAGCATACTTATTCATCCTGCTTGGGTCAGTTAGACCGACGGTTCTAACGAGGAGGGGTTCTTGGTTAATCACATAGAAGAAAAGTATAAAAGGTTTTCCCGCCCCGCCCTCATTCAGTCCCATTGTCGACATACCCAGCCTTTGATGTATCTTCTTCGTAAAATATTCCTGTTGCTCCAACCCGTCGTCTTCTTTTCGCAGAGGTCACTTAAATTAGCAGACTTCACTCCCCTTCTTCACTTGAAATATGTGCATTTGCTTCTTTTGTAATTAATTATTCCAAATTGCTGCAGCTAGTGCGCGATCAGAGACAGCGCCCAGGAGAGCCGAAGTCCTCACGGGGGCATTCTGCCTAGTGCCCTCACCCCCTTCTTTCGAATTTGGGGGTGATTTATGAGCACAGCAGGCAAGGGCAGTGTTCCCCATCCCCTTGGGGCAACAAGGGAGGCTGCCTACTCCCATCACAGCCTCTTAATTACCCCGTGTGGTCTGGAGAGATGGTATTGTCGGCCATCTTCCAATGCGCCCCCTAGTGGCCCCCATCCGCTTACAAAATCCATCTATTTAGTAGGAAGTTGAAAAGTGTCCCCAGATTTATTGAAAAAAATCTGGTACCCTTAGGGTATGAGCCTGCGAAGATGGGAATGCAGGACAGCTCTGCTTTGAAAAACTGTTAGTGGTTGTCATGTGTTTCCTTTTGAAAGTGAGCTGGCTTCTGGTGTCACACGGAAGGCACTCAAACAGAAGGCCCGCCAAATTTCTGGTGTCCTGAGCACTCATGGCAAGGCCTCAAGTATCCAGGACCCAGATTACTTTTGGGCTTTAAGTGTCAAAGCCAGCACTTCCAAGTCAGCCTAGAATCTAAGTTGCAATCCTTGCAGCTCCTCACAGAGTGGATCACATGGTCTCTCAGACTGTCAGCTGTCGGCTGATGCCTCCTGGACCGACTGAAGTTTCTGAATGCTCTTCACGGCCTGCGCAGGCAGCACTGCAGTAGTCCAAAGTAGGGTATGTGCACATTGGCAGCTTAAAAGGCAGAGGTTGCTCCCCCCCCCCCGCCTTCCAAGTCACATTTGATAGGAAGCCTCCGAGGGAGGGAGCAAGACGGGGAGCCTGGGGAGGGAAAAGCCCCCGGCTCTGGTCTCCTGGATACAATCATCACGACTATAGTCAGTCATAGGATTGCCGACTTAATTTAGAATTTGTGTGCAGAGAGCAAACAGTGTCACTGCGTAATTTGTACTATTTTGTAGAAAAAAACAATTCTTCCCGATGGGGAAAGCCTTCTCTTCTGGGGAAATTTGATACTTCATGCAAATGCCACCGGAGCATAGATCGAGGATGGAGCAATTTTGTGTCCCATGCACACCTAAGAAGAAGGAATTATCTGAAAAATGATGATCTTATTATCTTTGCAGAGTTTGACGGTATGGAAAAAGATTCTATTAGAAGATGGAAAGCAGAGTCTTTTCAGTTTTGACTTATTAAAAACAAAGAACAGAAAGTTATTTTTTCTTAAGTAAGGAAAAGGAAATAACAGTAAAGTATTATTGGGGCTCCATTTGAGCTAAGATTCTACAAAACCTAGCATTCAGTTCCTGGGATTTACTCTGAAGAGTAATAGTAAAAAAGTGTTAGTGAACAAGTACATAATGTTTTTCATTCATCACTGAGTAGCCACACATCTGGAATTAGCAGAAAGAACCTCCAGGGAATAATAATAATAATAATTTATTATTTATACCCTGCCCATCTGGTTGAGTTTCCCCAGCCATTCTGAGCGGCTCCCAATCGAGTGTTAAAAACAATACAGCATTAAATATTAAAAACTTCCCTAAACAGGGCTGCCTTCAGATGTCTTCTAAAAGTCAGATAGTTGCTTATTTTCTTCGCATCTGCTGGGAGGGCGTTCCGCAGGGCAGGCGCGACCATCGAGAAGACCCTCTGCCTGGTTCCCTTGTAACCTCACTTCTCGCAATGAGGGGTAACGCCATACAAGTCTCATTTTTAGAAATTAAGCAATGTGCACCACTGTTCTCATTTATATAGATAGATTTTTATCCAATAGAGTGTGTATTATATATAACAAATGGCTCCAGCTTCTCAATATGTTTGGGTTTCTCTCCACGCACCCTCCGCAACCGAGGACTAGGATTCTTAGAAACAGCCACCTAGTATTTTATGAGAAAATTACAATTGTGTATAAAGGTTATTTACTTTTTTTTAGTGCAACATTTGACAAAGACATTTAATTTTAGTCTGCATTGCTCAGCCTAGTTACAATTTTCATTTCATTTCATTTCATTTTAACCTACTGTAACCTATGCATTCTGGTTTTTTGCTGCTGCTTTAAATAAAATTAAATAAATTAGTAGGTGTAAGTTTCCATTTCAATTTTGGTTGAAAAATATGTGCCACATTTGTTTGGACCAGTCCTTTCTCTCTTTCTGAGTAAGATTTAACACATCTCAAGAAGACGGAACACATTTTCCCAGAAAAACAGCCTGTGGAACAGAATGACTCCCTGGAACGGAAAAAAAGATCAGCCTCTCTGGAAGACTGGCAGTCCTACCTGAGAGAACAGTGTGACCCAAATCCGTGCCAAAATGATGGCATTTGTGTAAAACTAAAAGGAAAAACAAGCTGCAGGTATCCTATGCTTTCATGGCATTTTTTTTTCTTTCTCATTTATGTGCCACATGATTAGATCACAACAACAACAACAACTTCAAAGGTAGACTCCACCATGGGAGCAGGGCCAGGGTGGGAGAGTGCTAGAGTCCTGTCTACTCAAGTTGCATTCCAATCTGTTACCTCCAAGGATGTGGACAGGCTGCTTGGACGAGTGAAACCAACCACCTGTATCCTTGATCCTTGCCCTTGGCTTATAAAAGCAAGCCGGGAAGGGCTGGGCGATGGGCTTCGTGGGGTGGTGAATGCTTCTCTCTGTGAGGGAGCCTTCCCAGACCCGCTGAAAGAGGTGGTCATTAAACTGCTTCTTAAAAAAACATCTTTAGAACCGGCCAATTTGGCCAACTATCGCCCAGTCTCCAATCTACCATTCTTGGGCAAGGTGCTTGAGCGGGTGGTTGCCGAACAACTCCAAGCACGCCTGGAGGATGCGGACCATTTGGATCCCTTCCAGTCGGGATTCAGGCCTCATCATGGGACTGAAACTGCCTTGGTTGCACTGGTCGATGAACTTCAGCAGGCTAGGGACAAGGGTGAGAGCTATTTCCTAGTTCTGGATCTCTCAGCTGCCTTTGATACCATCAACCATAACATCCTTCTGGACCATCTAGAGGGGCTGGGAGCTGGGGGCACTGTTATACAGTGGTTCCGCTCCTTCCTCCTGGGTCGTGTCCAGAAAGTGGTGGTGGGGGGGTGAGTGTTCAGACTCCTAGGCCCTCACCTGTGAGGTCCCTCAGGGTTCCGTCCTCTCCCCCATGCTTTTTAACATCTATATGAAGCCTCTGGGAGAGATCATTAAGGGGTTTGGGCTGGGTGTTTATCAGTATGATGATACCTAGCTCTATCTCTCTTTCAAATCGGAACCAGTGAAGGCGGTGAAGGTCCTGTGTGAGTGCCTGGAGGTGGTTGGAAGATGGATCACGGCTAACAGATTGAGGTTGAATCCTGACAAGACAGAAGTACTGTTTTGCGGGGACAAGGGGTGGGAAGGTGTAGAGGACTCCCTGGTCCTGAATGCGGTAACTGTGCCCCTGAAGGACCAGGTGCGCAGCCTGGGAGTCATTTTGGAAGCGCAAGTCCATTCTGTGTCCAGGGCAGCTGTCTATCAGCTCCACCTGGTACGCAGGCTGAGACCCTCCCTGCCCGCAGACTGTCTGGCCAGAGTGGTGCATGCTCTGGTTATCTCCCTCTTGGACTACTGCAATGCGCTATATGTGGGGCTACCTTTGAAGGTGACCCAGAAACTACAACTAATCCAGAATGCGGCAGCTAGACTGGTGACTGGAAGTGGCCGCCGAGACCACATAACACTGGTCTAGAAAGACCTACATTGGCTCCCAGCACGTTTCCGAGCACAATTCAAAGTGTTGGTTCTGATCTTTAAAGCCCTAAATGGCTTCAGCCTAGTATACTCAAAGGAGCGTCTCCACCCCCATTGTTCACTGAGGTCCAGCTCTGAGGGCCTTCTGGCGGTTCCCTCACTGCGAGAAGTGAGGTTACAGGGAACCAGGCAGAGGGCCTTCTCAGTAGTGGCACCTGCCCTGTGGAACGCCCTCCCATCAGATGTCAAGGAAATAAACAACTACCTGACTTTCAGAAGACATCTGAAGGCAGCCCTGTTTAGGGAAGTTTTTAATGTTTGATGTTTTCTTGTGTTTTTAATATTCTCTTGGGAGCTGCCCAGAGTAACTGTGGAAACCCAGCCAGATGGACAGGGTATAAATAATATTATATCATCATCATCATCATCATCATCATCATCATCATCATCATCTGTTTTGCCTTTGCTTTTCTTGCAAAAATTCCAGCCCATTGATGTTGCACTTGGATAGGGAAGGGACTTTGTGCCAGAGTGCCTCACCTTTCTTTGAGGGCTGCACTGAGCCATGGTCCTCTCTCCAAGAGCTGCAAGTCAAGTGGGCATAGCCAAAGTATAAAACTGAGCATGGCCAAAAGAAATGTATTATTATAATTACTACTACTACTACTACTACTACTATTATACAAATTTGGGCAGAAAATTTGGGCACAAAAGCCATTTGTACTGCAGCAAGGGGACGCATGGTCAGTAAAAAGCAACAATTAATTTAAATTTTTTTAAATTTTTTATTAAGGAATGAAGGAAGAGTCCCAAAACTCCTTTTAGTATCACAAAGGGGATCTATTGTAGCAGCCTGTTAAAAAAAAAGAATTGCAGGGACCATTGGGGTGGCACATAAAACTTTGTGGCATCACAGGAACAGTCAATCATTTAAGGGGGTTTCTTAATTACAAATTTATAGGGGTCTTTGCAAACACACCAAAAGACTTGGCGGGGGCTCAGTTACAGCCCCTGGGGTGCCAGTTAGCCCCCCCCCCCCATGCAGAGGAAGGCTACTCTGTGTGTGCTTTGGAAGCATAGGTACAGCTTTTCTCCATGAAGCAATGTCAACAGAAGCTACACCTGTTGAATTTTCTCCTACCTGAGATCTACAGATGAAGGGTGGTATATAAATTTAATAAACAATAACAGTAATAAATAGCATGCAGCTATTAAAGGCCCTGGAACACCACCCGTCAAGCTCTTAATTTAGCATTTACCTCTGTCCCTAAAATCTTGGCAGTCTTTGAAGCGGGCCAACATGGGCAATGGCAGTCTGGTTGCTCTGAACATGGAGACATGCATTGGGTCACAGCTCAGATTGGGATTATGGTGGTGACACATTTTCTGGGCTGGGCTTTAAGACTAATAAGGGGCAGGGAGGCTAACCTTTCCTTCAGGCAATGAAGCAGCTCCAAACTACCTTCCACTGGGAATTCCTGAACTCACATCAATGTTCAAAGAAGCCTCCTGTTTACAACCCAAGCTCCAAAATAGACATTTTCCCTTCTTCTGTTTACAGGTGTGCTACAAGCTGCCTCTTCTTCTACACAGGAGTGAGATGCCAGGTGACACATGTCCACTGGAACACCCTTGGTCTGTTAGCTGCTGGAGCTGTAGCACTAACCATAGTTACGATTTCCTTATTAGTTAGGCAATAGTCTTCCTTTTTCCAGAGTGTAGTTTTACAGTGATTTCATACTTTCCGTGAATTTTGTTGTAATTCCAACTCACCTGAACTCGATCATCTGAATTATGTGAAAGTGATAACATGATCACCTCCTGTCACCTCAGTCATGTGCTCCAAAACTGGAGGCCAAACAGGGAAGTGATAGAAGGTCCCGACTCCTTGTCTTGGTTTAACTTGACATAACAGATAACTGCCCTTAGAATCTCAATGGAGCATTAAGCATGACTATGGCCTCTGTTGGAGTTCTGTTGATTTCATTGTGCAAGCAGAGTCTGTGGAGATGCGAGCAGATATTATGTGCCTGGTTTAAAAGGCGGAGGAGACCTCTTCAAAGTTGGCTTTGCATTCTTAGAGCGTTTGCACTGCACAGTTCTATTCCAGGCATAGGAATGTTGCAGTATCCTTTCTCCTTTCCTCCTAAAATGCTTTGCTGTTGGTTTTTATGGGTGTGTAGTCCTCAGCACCAAAGACAATGGGGAAAGGTTACTTGTGAATTACTGTTAACTCCAGATTAAAGTTGTGACACAATGTGTGGTACAATAGTTATCTATAGAATGCCAAAGGAATGAAACTGAGTTTCAAACTGAGTACTAGGGATGAAAAAGGTGCCTAGCTCAGCGGTAGAACTTCTGCTCTGCATGTAGAAGGCTTCATCGCCACAGCATCTCTTAGCAGAGCAATGTGAGACCCTTGCCTGAAACCCTAGAGAGCCGCTGCCGGTCCATGTGGACAGCACTGGGCAGTACGGACCAGTGGTCTGACTCATTAGAATGCAGCTTCCTATCATTACAGAAATGGATTCATAAGTTAAAGGCACCTTTTTTAGGTTTTCATCCTTTAAAAAGCTTGCTTTATTTCTGGTTTGCTTTGCTTAAAAACACACTCTGCTTCTCAAACCTTAAGCTTTGCGACGTGGGTGTGACCCACTTAGAAATAAGCTGCCTGAGCAGCTGTTGTGGAGGCCCTGGACGTTCTGGCATGAGAAAAGTCCACAAGGAGATAGAAGTCACACAGTGTTTCCAGTATGCCTCCAGTTTGGACCAGGAATACAGAGTAGAATAATAATGTTTTCTGGACTCCTACTCCGTCTTGTCTAGTGCCAGTTAAGAGCCATCTCTGAATTTATCTGTGGAACTGACTGTTCTGGCATGTAGAACGGAACCACCTGAAGCAGCTTCTCCTGTGAACTGCACACCTCAAGGGGAAACTGCTGGCATGAAACAAAAGCTGGCAAGTAGCAATTCAGCAACTATCTATAGTTGCTGTTTTAAAAGAAATGGTTAACGGAGGGCAAGGTGTTTGTTTAAACGTGGTGCAAGCACCTTTTATTAAGTATGACCATAAATAAATATATATTTACATGTTTACAGAAAAAATTGAAATTTCCCCTTCATTTTAGTAAAGCAAGGTGTATAACTGGAAATTGTTCTCTACTATAAAAGTAAAGTGCTTTATAGAGGGCAGTTTACACAACTGACATGATAGTCCTAGTACTCTTTCTTAAGCAGAAGTCCTACTTCATTCAACTTCACTCTTTCCTGTGCAGGTCAGTGTAGCCTTGTCTCCTGGTGTCCCATCGGCCCTTGTGGCCCCACAGGAATCCCCTCCCTCGCCCCCTCAAGGCCTCAAAGCCAGTGTGGTGTAGTGGTTAAGAGCAGTAGATTCGTAATCTGGGGAACCGGGTTCGCGTCTCCGCTCCTCCACCTGCAGCTGCTGGGTGACCTTGGGCCGGTCACACTTCTCTGAAGTCTCTCAGCCCCACTCACCTCACAGAGTGTTTGTTGTGGGGGAGGAGGGGAAAGGAGAATGTCAGCCGCTTTGAGACTCCCTAGAGTAGTGATAAAGCGGGATATCAAATCCAAACTCTTCTTCTCCTGTCCACCTGCCATGCTTTGCTCAGCCTTGGGCTGCTCCTGGAAGCGGAGCCCCCCAGCGGCCTTCAGGAGACAAAGCCTGTGCTGCCCAGCACCTGTGGCCTTTGGGCAGTGCCAGGCGCCCCTTTGGAAACCGGAGGGAGTGAGGAGAGAGGGGATGAGCTGGGGAGGGGAAGAGGGGAAGCCACAGAGCCCAGGGGGGATTTCTTTCCATAAAATGCCACTGCAGGGGGCTCTACACTGTGTGGTGGTGGTGGGGCTTAATGGTAGTGCAAATTACAATCCAGACTGAGACTCCAACAGGGAGCAAAAGGTGAAAACACATTATGCCCCACGTATGAGGGTCCTGATGCACATCAGCCCCTTGGGCCTGCCATTTAGTGCTGAAAGCAGCCCAATTCATTTCAGTCAGAACATGTTTCACATTTTTCAATTGGCTGTTGCAATGCAAATTGCTGGGGTTTGTCTGTGGTGTGTCCGTGTTTCCACATGCGTATCTGAACATCAGTTTTCTTCCAGTGAAGTTGGTATTTTATTGTGCTTTGTGAGAACAAATGCATTGTTTGGCTCAAACTTAACTGTGTTAGCTTCTTGAGCAATTTACTTGGGCTTTGTACTAGCAAGGCCCTCACAACCACCATTTTGTAGGAGGGCCCACAACAGTTTTTCTGATTTTCCACATGTGCCTATATGTATGAAAAGTTTGGGCGGTCTTACTTCAAACATTGCAAAAAGCACAAAAAACAAACCCACCCAGAAATGCTACAATCCAGCAAGGAACTCGTTTGAGGTGCCTGGATACCTACTTTGCTGTGCTGTATCTCTCACTCTGCCCTGAAAGCCAGAGTGCCCAGTTGCTCTGGCACATCTCCTGGTCCCATGACTGCAACAGGGCTGGGGAAAACACGACATGTGCTGAAGGATTAGCGGGGCTCTGGCACAAGACGGCATTCAGATTCTTACGGCGTTGGGACCCTCATCACTGAATTTCTTCTAGCAATCAAGCAGATATTATAATTAACTTTCCAGACAGTGCATGGTATATCGAAGAAATATTTTGTTAAACTAATACGCCACAGTTCTTTACAGCCTATACGAAGTCCATGCTTCTTGCCACATCAGGGGAAAGAGCCCAGAGGTCTTCCAAGCTTCTCAGTTTAGCAAAGAATATGCCTTTGAAGTGCTTTCAGAAGCTGAAGAAGATGCTGGTTCTGTAGAAGAGACTTGATATTTTCCTGCAGGACACAAAGGCAAAGTAATGTTCAAAAAATGTTGTTTCATTATTGGACATGTAAATCACACACACAAACCCCTGCTCTGCCACTGTCAATGTGGCTGGCTGTTGCCAGAAAGCGCTCTCCTTCCTTGTTTAAGAGAACACAGCATAAAGTTAAACATTACTGCTTGAACTGTGTGCAGGAATAAACCACATTCAATTGTACTGCAGTCACCATCGGTTTCCTTGCCGTGTACAGTATGCTTTGTCCTTTCTATCCTCCAAAGCCATATTCACAGAGGAGGGGGCTATCAGTGGCCCCCTAGCCAGGACGGCTCGGCTCTGCCTGCACAGATGGAGACAGCAATGCTCCTGCACACCACTTGCTGGAAACCAGGGGAGGGGAGGGAGCTGCTCTTGGGCTCCTGTTTTGCTCCCTGGTTTCCCACAGGCATCTAGTGGGCCACGTGGCAATAGGATGCTGGACTAGCTGGGCAGGGCCTCATCCAGCAGACTCCCACCTTATGCCTGGCTGAAGGGTGGCTTCGATTAAGGCAGAGCTGTCCCTCTGCTCAGCTCTGGAATGGGGCCAGGGTCCCCGCAGACACAGGAAGACCCTGAAATGGGGGGCAGGTCTTGGGGTAGAGAGAGGATGGCGCTGATCCAGCCTGGGATATGCTGGATTGCAAGTCTGTCTCGCTGCTGTTGAGTGGCAGCATTTGACCTGATCTGTGCCCAGACTCAAGCTCATGCGGCCACCGGGGTCTGTTTAGAGGCCAGGCCCCCTCCCCTTCCTCACTGTCTGCTGCCACTGCAGATACAGTGGTGCCCTCTAAGGGTGGGAGTTTGGATTGCACCCTTATTCTGGCAAGAGGGGTTGGGCTGAGCTGTTGAAGGCCATCCAAGACAATGTTGTACGTGGGTCTCCATTGTTGAAGTGCAGCCTTTTAGGCACTGCTATCGCAGAGGCCCCCAACTGCTTTTGGAGGCTGATGGTAACCATGCTTGGAAAGCGCCTTCCCCTCTTAATGAACTGCACCATCAGGGCATCACTTCCAGCAAGCAATGCTTTGCGCATCTGGCTTCTACGGCATATCCGGCTTGTTGATGTTTTAGCACAGCAATTGGCCTTGCAGTGCCTTGAAATGGCATGAATCTGAAGGCCCAACATACAGAAGGACATTTGAAATTGTACAAGGAAGTTGGTTGCTGATTACATACTGTACCTGTTTTGCCAAACCAGTTGTTTAAAGTTTTTGAGAATGGAGAACTGATGGAAAGCATAGGCGCTGACATGCCTTGGGATGTTGACTGTAAGACACAAGCACATATTAGTGAAGAGCAAGCAGCATTTTCTATAGGACAGGCTTTTATTTCGTCTTAGCTTTAATCTGGCAATTGTAGAAAACCTCAAACTTAAAACTAAGTTAACTAACTTAAAACTAAGGATTGTCAAATTGAGCCCTGAAGCAAATCAGGGGGCCCTTGCACAGTCCTAGTGCAAACCATAAGCACAGATAGAAAAGTGTTGGAGATAGCAAACATGTCCCTTGCACCAGAGTATGTATGGCAGAACCATATGGACCACGGAGGGCAGCTGCACTTTTAGCCCCACCCCAAACTTTGTGTTCCTCCCTTTAACTATTCCCCATGGTGCATATGTATCCTGACAAAGTCCAAGGGTCCTGGCCACATGCAGCCCCCGCACACAAACAGGAATTTGCACACAGAGCTTTCTATACAACCAAAGAAAAAGGATCCAACATTGTCTGAAAGCAGCGCGCCCCCCCCCCGCACACTGGGGGCTGCCAACAGGGCATTTAAAGTTGTCGTGGTGCTCAGAAAGGCCTTCATTGGCACCCCAGGGCAGGAGGGCCACTCTGAGCTTGCTAGCTTTCTTTTAAGTATTTAGCAATCTTAGGAAGTTATCAAACAAAACTTGCAGGTCCTCTTCAAGGCAATTTCTGTGAAATGAGACATACTGGCTGCTCCAAGTTGCTCAAGAGTCCTCAAGAGCCGCTAATTTCTCCCCAACTGTAGTGAACGCTTCCTGCTTTTGTCTTACTTTCAAGTTCTTGGACCCTACATTGCTTGCCCTTCCTTTCCCCTAGATGCTAGGATGCATCTTCCATGGGGTGGGTTTGTCTGAGATCAGGTAGTCCCTAGGAGTTATTTCCTGCAAGAACTGCTACACAAGTGTGAATGAATGCTGAATAATCACCCTTCCCCCACTCCCCCAACAAATGTAAATACTTTACAAAAAATGCTAAGGCACATCTCCTGCTTTGTTGTTGCTTAGTCATTTAGTCGTGTCCGACTCTTTGTGACCCCCTGGACCAGAGCACGCCAGGCACTCCTGTCTTCCACTGCCTGCCGCAGTTTGGTCAGACTCATGTTTGCAGCTTCGAGAACACTGTCCAACCATCTTGTCCTCTCTCGTCCCCTTCTCCTTGTGCCCTCCATCTTTCCCAACATCAGGGTCTTTTCCAGGGAGTCTTCTCTTCTCATGAGGTGGCCAAAGTACTGGAGTCTCAGCTTCAGGAGCTGTCCTTCCAGTGAGCACTCAGGGCTGATTTCCTCCAGAATGGATGCGTTTGATCTTCTTGCAGTCCATGGGACTCTCAAGAGTCTCCTCCAGCACCATAATTCAAAAGCATCAATTCTTCAACGATCAGCCTTCTTTATGGTCTAGCTTTCACTTCCATACATCACTACTGGGAAAACCATGGCTTTAACTATACGGACCTTTGTTGGCAAGTTGATGTCTCTGCTTTTTAAGATGCTGTCTAGGTTTGCCATCGCCTTTCTCCCAAGGAGCAGGCGTCTTTTAATTTCGTGGCTGCTGTCACCATCTGCAGTGATCATGGAGCACAAGAAAGTAAAATCTCTCACTGCCTCCATTTCTTCCCCTTCTATTTGCCAGGAGGTGATGGGCCCAGTGGCCATGATCTTCGTTTTTTTGATGTTGAGCTTCAGACCGTATTTTGCGCTCTCCTCTTTCACCCTCATTAAAAGGTTCTTTAATTCCTCTTCACTTTCTGCCATCAAGGTTGTGTCATATGCATATCTGAGGTTGTTGATATTTCTTCCGGCGATCTTAATTCCGGCTTGGGATTCATCCAGCCCAGCCTTTCGCATGATGAATTCTGTATATAAGTTAAATAAGCAGGGAGACAATATACAGCCTTGTCGTACTCCTTTCCCAATTTTGAACCAATCAGTTGTTCCATATCCAGTTCTAACTGTAGCTTCTTGTCCCACATAGAGATTTCTCAGGAGACAGATGAGGTGATCAGGCACTCCCATTTCTTTAAGAACTTGCCATAGTTTGCTGTGGTCGACACAATCAAAGGCTTTTGCGTAGTCAATGAAGCAGAAGTAGATGTCTTTCTGGAACTCTCTAGCTTTCTCCATAATCCAGCACACGTTTGCAATTTGATCTCTGGTTCCTCTGCCCCTGCGAAATCCAGCTTGCACTTCTGGGAGTTCTCGGTCGACATACTGCTTGAGCCTGCCTTGTAGAATTTTAAGCATAACCTTGCTAGCATGTGAAATGAGTGCAATTGTGCAGTAGTTGGAGCATTCTTTGGCACTGCCCTTCTTTGGGATTGGGATGTAGACTGATCTTCTCTAATCCTCTGGCCACTGCTGAGTCTTCCAAATTTGCTGGCATATTGAGTGTAGCACCTTAACAGCATCAGCTTTTAAAATTTTAAATAGTTCAGCTGGAACATCATCACTTCCACTGGCCTTGTTATTAGCAGTGCTTTCTAAGGCCCATTTGACTTCACTCTCCAGGATGTCTGGCTCAAGGTCAGCAACCACACTACCTGGGGTGTATGAGCCATCCATATCTTTCTGGTATAGTTCCTCTGTGTATTCTTGCCACCTCTTCTTGATGTCTTCTGCTTCTGTTAGGTCCTGCTATGTAGGAGCTAAATTAAGAATTCACCATATAGGTAACTCACAGTGCAATGGCATGCATGTTTACTCAGGGATGCTGAATAGTAGCCTAGCCTTTGGTTTAGGGTTAGCATGGGGCGGGGGAATTGGGTTCTTATGCTTTTAGCGGCTGTATGGCAGGCAGAAATTCAACAGATCAAGCCTTTTTTAGTAAGGAAATACAACTATGAGAAAAGTTTCTCCATGACAGTACGCTCTCTAATCGTGTGTTATGCCATACCCGCACAGCAGCCATCCAGATGTTGCCACTGATTCAAAAAGGTTAGCAGCCCCTGCTGTCAATCATTATGCCTTAAACATAAGAAGGACAGTCCATTACAAAATCCTGTTTGATGAGGATGGTGTTGACGGTGATATGTTTTTTCCATTCCCTCATTCCCTCCCTTTTCCTTATTGTGAACAGTTTCAAACACATACTGTTTATAAAGGTTGATAAAATAAAGGTTTTCTCATTCATTGTTGAGGGATTAAAATCAGAGAGAGTCTATTAAAAATTAGGCAGAGTACAAGATTTAAAACAATGCTTCCATTAGCAGTGGATATCTTCTGCAATTAGAAGGGCACCTTTGGCTCCAACCCACTATTTATTCCTGGAAATAATACTACCTTTGTGTGTTGTGAACTCCAGCTGGAGAGGGAACACTTTTTCCACAGAGCTTCCCATACCTGCACATTTGAAACAGAGAAAAGCCAATATCAAATAATCTCTGCAATTCAATCTAATAAAATAAAGCTTTAATATTTTAAAATTAATTTCCTACCGTTCTATCTGAGAGGATTCCAAGCAGCAGAATGAATAATCCCTGCAAAATATTTTCATATTAATATTATACACATTTGTAAAACGGCACCCTAGATGCCTGAATCTAAAGGCCAAAGGATCTCTCTAATGTAATTCCAAAGAAAGAACAGCATTTCTGAACACTGATTGCCAAAGTGTATGGGGGAAAACATGGAGCCTAGGAGAAAAATAAGCGAGAAGTTTTGGATAACATTCTGGGGATTACAAACTAATCCTGATAACAAGCTTCAAAAGGTCAACAAGCAACATACTGGGGAAAGAGACCTCACATTGCAATCCTATGTGTTTCCTACTGAGTTCAATGAGACTTAGTCCCTGTTAAGTGGGATCAGAATTGTAGTATAACAGACCCTCCAAGTACCCCTATTTTTCCAGGGTCAGTTCCAGTTTCTGATTTGATCCTGGAATGAGACCTCCCCAGGTATAGCGCAGTATATTAAACAAACTAAAACAAACAAACACATATATAATGGAACAAGGAATCTTTCACAAACATTTGCTCCGCATGCAATTCTGGATTCAATCTAGAGGTGACTTTGAACTCACAGTCACAGGTGCTAATTTAGGATCAGGGCTGGCACTACAGTGCTTTGATCTCAGCATTTCTCAGGTCAGGAAATATATACTTATAGTAAGTTTAATAGGAATATGTCCAGGAGAAACAGGCCTGGGTCATAGGTCATGTGATGGCACAGGCTCTAGGAAAGGAGACTGCAGCCCCTTCACTCCTCCTGGGTTGTGTCAACAGGAGTGTGTGAAGCTGCACTTACATTGCTAGCAAAGTCTATTCAAACTCCTGAAGGGGGGGGGGCAAGGTAAGGGGGGGAGCAGTCTAAGACACAGAGCAAGAAAGATAGGGCAGGTTCAGTTAAGGGCTCACTATCACAGTATCCCACCAGATTTTAGCCATTTCCTCTCTAGGATGGGCAAGAGGAGAACGGGGCCAGGCTTAGCACAGAAGTCCAAATACAGTGAGATCGCTAGACTCTTACCGCATGGAAAGTAACTATATGAATCACCTCCTCGTGTGTACAGTGGTACTGAGGAGTCCCAAGAAATGTTGACAATATTTTTTTAACAGTTAAGCATAGCAAACAGCTAGTATCTTTTATCTACTTACCTGAAAAGCATTGAAAAGAGTAAATAAGTAGTGGAATGCTCTAGGGCTTCCAGGGATAACTGTAGCAAGACCAAATAACCAGGTGAGGCCTAAGAGTGATGTCAGAACACCGATACACTTGGTGATGCGATACAATGAGCTCTTTTCTTTATTTATTGATTTTTCGCCGATGGAACGTCTTTGCATTTTTGCTATGACCACAATGGTAACAATCACATTGACAGCGACAATGATCATGGCAGGAATGACTAAGGCCAAGAGAGCTCTACTCTCATCCCAGTTGAGTAAACAGACCTTTTTTCTTGTGTAATGTGGGTGGGTGCTGCTTACGGTGATAGCAGATATAGCTAGTGGGCAAAAGTATCCCAAGCAGAAGCTAAGAGCTTTCATGATGGTCTTGCTTGCATTATGTACGATAAAGACTATGTGGTAGAACACCATGAGGCCCAAGGTTAGCATCCAAAAGAAGACACAGAGGTAGAAAAACTGAACAAAGAATGCTGCTGTTATGCAGAGCCAGGCCTGGTCCATTTTTGTGTTTGTGTCATGCATTGCTGCTACCACAATGAACCAGACGTCTGCAATCAGGAGAGAAATCACTATGTTCAGTATGCAAACATGGCGCATGTAGGATATTCTTGCTTTGGTCACTGATTTCCACACGACAAATTCTATGCCAATGCAGGCCACCAGGCTCAATATAGAAATGCTCACACCAATGTAAGACATGTAATCCAACGTGTCCCATGGATCGTGACTGGGAGACATCAAAATGGAGAATGAAGTCAAGTGATTACAGGAGCAAGTGACATTGTCCCCATTCTCTGTGCTTTCACAGCCAGTACTGTCCCAACCTCCACCATCTTCTGAGAAGCTGAAATTCCAAAATACACATCGAGGATTTTTCAGGGTCTTGTTATCCTTCGTAAATGTCATAATGATCCTGAAATCTCCACTCAGTCTGCTGTTGGCATTGATTAGTGTTGTCATCACCAAACCATTTACTATGAATGCATCCATCTTCTTATACTGTGGAATAATAGGCCCCAAAGATGAGTAAGCCACACTGATGATGGTGAAGATGGAGTCTCCAGTTATATTTTTTGCTTCGTTAATTAGCACACTACCACTGAGGTTTGAGGGCTTGGAGAATGTAAAGCTCTCGTCGTAGTCTGAAACCTTGCTTTTGTCAATGACCACACCCTTGAGCTGGAGGTTGTCATAGCTGATGGAAGGAATAGAATTGTTAATAGGTTGAAGGGAGTCAGAAAATTGCTCCACTGAAGCCAGTAATTGAGAAGTTCCATTCGCAAAATCCTTCCAAGTTTTTGTTGGACTGCTGATAACCATGTCTACTGTGGATAAAAAATTCTGCAATAATAAGAGAATAAAGAGATATTACTAAAGTCCAGTAACAAAATTATCAGTGTGCATTAGAAATTCCAATCCCTTTTCGTTTAACACTAATCCACCTACCAACTTTTATTATTATTATTATTATTATTATTATTATTATTAATAATAATTGAATTTATATATCACCCTTCATTCAAAGTTCACAGGGTAGTTTACAATATATAAATCCCAAAATACATAACATAAGAACAAGCAAAACAATAACCCAGCCACCCACCCTCTCGTTTTAAAGGCCATAGATTGTTTCACTAGCCATTTGGAAGGTCAAATGGTTGAAAGCTCAAGCTCCTCTCATATTTCAAATACATTATTAGATACAGATACTGATTTTATCATATTGTGATGCTGTCATATCCAACAGTCAATCAAGCTATAACATTCACAGCAAGCCATGAGGCTGTGCTGTAGAACAGTCTGAGGTCCTGCACAGGTATTTGTTTCATGGTAGAAACTGAAACTTTGCCTCAGTTTGCTCATTATTATTTAGGAAAAGTATAGTTCTTGATTTAACTTCTGTAAGAATTATTGGAACAAACTCTTGATATTTCCACATTGATCCTGATGATTTCTCATTTTCTTCTTTCCTGATCTACTCTGCCATGCTCTTGTGAACAGGTGTGTGAATCTGAACTTATTCCTATGGTTTATCTAATAGCATTGAAATAAAAGCTTGACATAACTGAAATATGACATGAGATTCTCCACCACGAACCTTCCTTGACCTTGGTACAAACCTGGTACCAGCCTCATCTCAAAACATGTCCTAAAGGCACTCTGAGAAACACCCTCAAACCTTGCATAAATCAAGCTGTCTATTCAACTCCTGAATGGGAGTCAGCAGACAAAAGATAGCCAGTTCAGCCACAGCCCACTAAGATGACTTTCATGCAAACATTTAATTTGCAAGGTGGGCGAGGTGAGAAGCAGGCAGAAATTCTGGGATGAATTCAAATGCATAACAAAACTAGCTGAAGGAGAAAACAAGCTTGCGTCATCTTCCATGTGACAGCCCTTTAGATATTTGAAGATGGCTCTCAGTCTCCTCTTTTCCAGGCTAAGCATATCCAACTAGTGCAGATGAAAAGAAAGGAGTTCTCAACTTCTGCAAAGTCTTCTGTAACTTACTTCCATTGTTTCCTGCTCAGCAGCTACCGGCACGACTGAAACCATATTCAAAATTTCCACAACAGCTTTCAGGTTTGCAAGAGCTTTCATACTTTGCTGCTGTTGCTTGATGGTTTGGTTCAGGTGGCTGAGGAATTCAGGCAAATTCTTCTTTTGCTCAGGACTAGACACCAAAGACTAGAATTAAAGTTAAATGTGTTAAACACAGAGTAAATGGCACTTAAGGCTTGTTATTCAATAGAAAGCCCACAGATTCTCTTCAGCCAGCTGGAAGAGGCACAGAATGTTGTGAAATTAATTCAAGAAGGGAATCTTGCTTCACAAAAGCGCAATTTCCTGATTTCCTAGGTGACGGTCACTTGTGGCACAACCATCTTTTCCTGCTTTGGCTCCCGCAGCTTCAGCAGCTAAATGATAGAGACACACTGAACAGGCCAGGATTCTCTTGGCGTTTCTTTGTTCAATGACATAGGATGGAGCTGGGGGAGGAAAGTGGATTTCTGTTCGAAAAGCTTTGGATGCCCTGGGAGCCTTGCTACAGAGAGGTGGAAACACTAATCAGCAGTATGCAACTTGGGGCACATCTACACTTGTGTTTTTAATGTTAGGAAAGGTTAAGGAAGAGTTGTGATAACACAAAGGGACAAATGACTTGTTGCTTTTAACATTCTTAATTTGTTATTAAAATGTGACACCAGAGGGCGCTGCAGAGCAAGGGTTTTGACGAAAATAAACCATTTTTAAGTATAAGTATGCCCTGGGACATTTTAGAACGATAGATCTAATATCATTCTAATAACGTTAAAACCGGTCAGAGTAGATACAGCCCCCGTGCCAAATTCATTTCCATAACATCCATAGCTGGAGATCACATCAGGTGGGCAGTTTTGTGCTAATGCAGCTGCCTAATGTGTTGGCTCCATTGCCATTCTGGGGGCTTCCCGAAGGGGGGTTAATATTGCAAGTGGGTTGTTCAGATACCACAAACTGAGGTCTTTTTAACTTGTTAGATTTTCTGCTGAAAGGGAAAACCCAGGTTCAATGCAAAAAAAAAAAAAAAAGCAGTTTGGGACTTTGATGCAGACAAGGTTGTGTGGCTGCTGTGACAGGAAACCAAAGCCCACATTCCAATGCATGAGCAGCAGCCCCACAAGAAACTCTCCTCCGTGAGCTGGAGGCTGCCCTTCGCCCTGTTCTCACAGAAGCGCAGGGACTGCGATGGCAGCGAAGGAATAAAGATCCCCTCCCCCATGATTCTGGCTCCCCCCCCCCCTGAACAGTCATGGGAGATGTGGGAAAGGATAGATGATTATTATTATATTAATAATATAAATAAATAAATAAACCTGTTCCTGGGCTTATCTCACTTATTTCTTTGCAAGCTGTCCAAAGACCATCTGTTTTAAGGGACAGCACAAAGCTTCTAAAGAACCTACACCATAGCTGTCAACGTTTCCCTTTTTTAAAGGGAAATTCCCTTATTCCAAATAGGATTCCTCACAAGAAAAGGGAAAAGTTGACAGCTATGACTTACACAAAACCCCAAAATGATATACTTGCAATCAAACTCACTCAGGTGTCTTCAATTTGTCATAAAGTGGAGATAACCCAGTATATACAGCCCTTGAAGTCTTTGAAGAGCTTACAAAAAATAAGTGAGATCAGCCCCTGAGAAAGCTTACCAGAGACAAAACATGTTGGACTACTAATAAAATAATAAGCACTCATCCTGCCTGAGGTGCAGGGCAGCCCAGCCGAGGCATCTCAGGCAGCAGAAGCCCCCAAGGCACTTCCCCCGCGGGTGGCAGAGGCAGCGTGGAGGGTGGCAGTGGGGGGCATGGCAGCAGGGCCAGTTGGCAGAGGCGGCAAGAGTGGCAGACTGTCTGGCCAGAGTGGTGCATGCTCTGGTTATCTCCCGCTTGAGCTACTGCAATGAGCTCTATGTGGGGCTACCTTTGAAGGTGACCCAGAAACTACAATTAATCCAGAATGCGGCAGCTAGACTGGCAGCTAGACCGAGACCATATAACACCGGTCTTGAAAGACCTACATTGGCTCCCATACATTTCCAAGCACAATTCTGTTGGTGTTGACCTTTAAAGCCCCTAAACGGCCTCGGCCCAGTATACCTGAAGGAGCGTCTCCACCCCCATCGTTCTGCCCGGACGCTGAGGTCCAGCTCCAAGGGCCTCCTGGCGGTTCCCTCACTGCGAGAAGCCAAGTTACAGGGAACCAGGCAGAGGGCCTTCTCGGTAGTGGCACCCGCCCTGTGGAACGCCCTCCCTTCAGATGTGAAGGAAATAAGCAGCTATCTTCTCTTTAAAAGACATCTGAAGGCAGCCCTGTTTAGGGAAGCTTTTAATGTTTGATGTTTTATCACAATATATTCTATTATTTATATTTTAATATATTTTAATATATTTTAATGTTTGATGTTTTATCACAATAATATTCTGTTGGGAGCTGCCTAGAGTGGCTGGGGAAACCCAGCCAGATGGGCAGGGTATAAATAATAATAAATTTTGTTGTTGTTGTTGTTGTTGTTGTTGTTGTTGTTGTTGTTGTTGTTGTTGTTGTTGTTCTACTCCTATGTGTTCCCTCCAAATGAATGCTTCATCCTTTGTGCCCTCTCTGTCACCATTTTAAAAGCTCTTAAACATGCTGATATATCCCAGCAATGTTCTGTTTACATATGTGCTCAACTCGTTTTGCACAAAGCTGCTAATTTGAGTTGTTGCAGTGTATAATGTTTAGTTTTAAAAATCTATTTCTCTGAATAGTCTGGAGGCAAGCTGTGCTCCAGGCAAAGGGATGCTTTTACCTCTGCAGAGCTGAGAAGGTTGTCTACTGGGACAGCTAGGCAGCTATTTCCCATGATTTCCCACAAATTATGTTTGCACTTATAGGTGATACTTCCTCTGACAGGGTGGTTTGCCTCGTTCCTGCAAGGCCTTGTGAGCTCTGCTCCATCCTCTCCGGTGCCAATCTCTGAAGAATTGCATGCTACCTTCTTTGCTGTGAAAGAAAGAAGAGACGTTGTTTTATCTCTCGAAACATCAGGACACCACACAGTGTAGACAAGTGTCATGTATGGACAAGTATAAGGACATTTGGATCACATTGATACAAAATATAGTAAGCTGCAAATAAACACACACACGGATAATAATAAGATTAGCATATATACGTAGCAATAGAGTATACTTTCCTCTGCACTTTTTATTTTATTGTTACTTTTTTTGTTCAGTTGAAATACAAAATTAATACCAAGAAAGGACACCAGCCGTCTACAAATGCAAAGTGTCTCTCTTCCTTTTCCCTTTTTTATTGATGTGAGACACTTTGAGAGACAATACTTGTCTGAAGAGTGGGATAGAAATACAGTAAATAAATAAAATTAACTGACAGAAAATGCCCAAATTAATATACTTTATTTGCATCATTAGTAAACATTTTGCAAAATTTGCAAATATAACTGGGCTATGGCAACTCTAAAGATATCATATACCATTGCCCACATTTTCTCCTTACCTAGTAAAAGTTTTAGGACCATTGGTGAACTTTGAACATGCCCATCAATTTGGTTCCTGAACTCACAATGCACAATGTGCTCTCTAGAATTGCAGTGAGCTTCTGTGAAATTTACTGTGTGTTGATAGCAGCCTTTTCCTCTTCTTTCTGCAGGAAAAGCTTTTGTATAGAATGAGGTAAATTCAGACAGCAAGTAGAATTAGTGAGAGCCGACTTTTGTGTCAGAAATGTAACTGTTTTTTCTTGTGAACTTGGAATGAGAGCTGCCACTAAATATTGTAAACATAAATAGAGCCATTGGCTTGATTTGCGTTTTTGAATGGTGCAGGGCAAAACTAAGGTGACAGTGTGAGCACAAGTGACGCTGAGGTGGTCCATTTAAAATAATACAAAATTACCTTCTCCCTCCTGCACACATGGCATCTGCTCTCACTAGTCCTTTCTGTGACCAAGGCAGGGCACTAACTCAAAACGGATCAGCACTGAGCTGAGTGAAGGATGATTTAAGGGAGCTGCTGCTGAAAATCCAAGTTTCCGTTTCTCAGGTAAACTCCTGCTCAGAAGCTGCTATGCAAAAAAAAGTGGAGGCAGCTGCTGCCTGCTATTGTCGCCTCCTGTTTTCTCATTGCCTTCCAGTGGTATTCAGTAGGTCAACAAGTTTTTCTGCCCTACAAAAAGTCGCTCTATGTTAACCCAAAACCCACATTAAACCTCTGAGCAAGCTGGTCTCTAAGCTCTTCACTGACTGTCTTGAAAAGTTAAGTCTGGACTGAAGAGAAAACATTAAAATAATTCTAGCTCTAGAACCTCTGGTTGTCCACTGGCCCCTCTGTCCAGAGCGCACCTTTGTCACGCCACTGCCATTCAGGTTGCCACCCAGCCAGTGGTTGCTCTCCCACCCAGCCAGTGGTTGCTCTCCCACCCAGCCAGTGGTTGCTCTCCCACCCAGCCAGTGGTTGCTCTCCCACCCAGCCAGTGGTTGCTTACCTGCCTGAACAAAGGGAAGCCTTTGTTGAACAGAGAACGTCACGGTGTAATTTCCTGTCTTGCTTGTACAACACCTTAGAACCTGAGTCCCTGGACAAGGGATGGATGCATTTATGGGATCTGTTATAATGTCTTTTTTCAGTGGCAAAGGAAACACGTCGATTTGCATGTGTGCAGAGCTGTTCAGAAATCTTTGGGAAAAGGTGCAGGTATAGTTGCCTAAAAACAATCAAACCAGATGTTCTTTAGCCAACAGCACAAGCAAGCAAGTAACTAAGATCTTTCTAAATTAGCACCAGCAGCCACAGCAGCGCATTTAGGGAAGTTTAATGTTTGAAGCTTTATTCTGTTTTTAGTCCTTTGTTGGGAGCCACCCAGAGTGGTTGTGGAAACCCAGTCAGATGGGCAGGGTATGAATTATTATTTATTAATTATTATTATTATTATTATTATTATTAAACACAATACAGGTACACACATGGTGGAAATTGTATTGTGAAGGTGGTTTTCATTGCTTTATTTGTTTTTGGTTCTGACAGTGGGGATGCAATTCACTCACCAGCCCAGTCCAGATTAGCACTGCCGACAGTCAGCACAGACTCTGCCCCCTTTCCGCTCTGCCTGGTGGTGTGCCACACGCTGTCAACCTGCTTAGTAGAGCTTCCACTTTGGATTTGCCAGGTGACGCTGTCAAAGTTGCTCACATCACTGTTGCAGCTTAGAGAGAAACGTTGTCCCTCAGAAACCTTGTCACTTGTTCTAGAAGATATGCTCACCTTTGCTGGTGAAACATAAACATTGGGGATTTGATTGTGAGTTCATTATTTTGTTTATTTAGGGAGATTGTCTCCCACTTTGCACATTGTCTCAACATGGCTTACGGTAAAATAGCAGAAACATAAACATCAGAAGAGCACACACACAAAGAAATCAAAAGAGGAAAGTCCTTCACAAAGAGATGCTTACCCACTCGAAAATATTCAACACTGATAACTTTGTGTTTGCGGGCACCATTGGTAGTGTTCAGCTCACATGTGTAATCCGTTTTGGTTGCAGACTTGTCTGCTGGGCATTGAGATTCATTAGCCTGAAGGAGGTACGTGGTACAGTTGTGAGTGGCAGTGGTGGTCCCTGCAAGGAAGGGAAATGAGTTAGAAGAGGTCAAAGCACTACCTGCAAATGAGGCTGAAAACTGGTCAACACCTTGACTCAAGGCAAAGCTGAAGAGTTGCTTCAGTGTCAGTGTCGCTGGGTGGTCAGAGTACGATGTCACCCCCATTTAGAAGTTGGCCAGTATGTTATCAGCTCCTACTCCCATAGAGACTTTGGGTCTAACATGTCCTACAAGCTTATCCAAAGCGGCCTGTTTAATTCCAGAAGGATGTTTTCAGGGACATGCCAGACAATTGCTCCCGGCCGTATCCAAAGCTGCTCTAGGCCAAAGATACCACACTTAGAATCACAGAACTGTAGAGCTGGAAGGGACCAACCCCCTGCTTTGCAGGAATCTTTTGCCCAACGTGGGCCTCAAACCCACGACCCGGAGATGAAAAGTCTCCTGCTCTACTGACTGAGCCACTGGAAGACAAGGAGAGGCAGCAGGAATTTGTGACTAGGAATGAATGAACACCCCCAGTTCCCATCAAAAGCTGTTCGCTTTGTGGTCATTTCTTGCATACACTAGCAAACAAACAAAAACCCTCAAAGTGTTTTGCAAGGACTCGCAAGGAATGCTTACAAAACCAAAGTGTTATTATCATTAGTATTTATTAAATTTGTAGCTGCCCTTCATCTGTAGATCTCAGGGCAGAGCACAACATAAAAACACAATATAGAAAACACAAAATACATAATAAAAATAAGAACAAAAACAAATCAATAATCCCCCTCCCCCTTGCAGTTTTCTCTCCCCCCACCCTCCTCACAAGGGACAAAAGGGCCTCTCCTTGTGAAGGAGGCAAAGGGATACCAGCAGTGAATGGCAGCAGCAACGCCTTGGCCCTCCTGGCTGACTCCAGAGGCTGCTGTGGCTCTGCCTGCAATCTGAGGCGGATTTAGGGGAACAGGAGCAGTTCACCTGCACTGGGAGCAACAATGACAAGCAGTGGAAGGTGATTGCTGCTGGAATTTTAAAGCCCAAAGTCCACCACTGCTGTGATTCACCACTCTGTGGAGCCAGCAATGACAGCGCAGGAGAAACAGGGCAGTGCAGGAGGCGCCTGACTCTTGACAGGTCTCCTTGTGCTTTGCAAATGTTGTGAGAGAGATGCATGTGTGGAGTTGGGCAAAGAAAACGTTTTAGGCACACTTAGGAGCCAAGAGAGATTCTTGCACTTCATACCTGAAATATTTATTGCTCCATTTGTTTTCCAGTAATAAGTGAAGAACTGCATATCTCTGTCTGTGCAGCAACTCAGTTCTTTAGTGTCACCATTGCATACAATCACAACGTCCTCTGAGGGCACAATTTTGATTGGAGAGACTGTTATATTAGTCCCAGCAACATGTATGACTGACACATTATTAATCCATTCCATAAAGCTGCAACGGTAATAACCTGCAAAAAAGACAAAAATCTGGTATTTAGCTCCATAAAGCAATGTGCTCAAACATTTCCAGATCCAACTGTGAACCTTCCAGCTTGTCTCATCTCCATGATAAAATTAACTCAATTGAATCAAAGCATTAAATGAGTGGCAAAACCTTTACATTTACACCGGTGATCTGAATGTGCAAAGGATCTGCATAACAGTCAGCCGTTTTGTGTGTGGAGCAGCTCCCCTGAAAGGGCAATTTTAGGCTGCATTAATGGTTTCCAAGCTTTGGTTCCTCTCTATTCTGCTCTGGTCTGGTCTGCTCTGGAGAACTGCCTTCCATTCTGGGCGTTTTACTTTAAGGAGGAGATAGACCAGCAGCTCTCAGTGAAAATGGCTGGTGGTCTTGGTAGACCATTTAAGGGTTCTTCTGCTTGTTGCACAATTGTGATATGCTGTGCTAGATGCTACATTTTAAATCCAATTTTTATTACTTCTTTTATTTCTTATACAGTAAGACCGCAACATACTCACATTTACCTTGTGCCCATCCAGCTTTATGCACTTGGCAAAATAAAATAAAATAAAATAAAATAATTAAAAGGAGACAGGCCTCGGGGGGAAAGACTTTGGCCACACACCCCCATGGCACTCGATGTGTTTTGACTATGTGCAGTTTTGGCACAGGTGCAATGGGCACTAGCTGCCTCTGCCTGGAGGGTGGCAGACTCTCCCTTGCTGGAGATTTTCAAGCCAAGGCTGGGTAGCCATCTGTGGAAGATGTTCAAGCTCTGGATTTCCCACAGTTCCTTCCGCAGAATGGAGATCATAGGTAACATAAAGATTGCCAACTCACTAAAGAAACATTAACTAATCATGAGAGATAATCAGGTCGCATGACCCCTCCTGGTACACCTGAGACCCCAGGGGACACACCTATTTTATGGTCAGACAACTAGATGTGCATGACCCTTGGGAAGGGCAAGAACACCTGCAGAATTGATTTAACAAGACACAGAGAAAGCTGTGGAGCCCCAGTCATGGCTGCGCCCCTTCTCTGAATCTAGGTTTCCATTGCATGTCACTCTGTATGTTATAATCCTAGAATATGATGGTCATTGTTGTCGAATATGATGGTCACTGCAGGCCACCCAATTCACTCCCAGCCTTGTTTGATGCAGAATATTGGAGTGTTTGCTTGATGTGGTTTTATTCTTTGGAGTATTGTCTTACAGAGGGTAATAATCTGTATTTGTTCCCCATGTTCCCTAGTGACAGACTACTTCCCCTGTCCTCACTTTGGTAGGAGGTGACTGTAAAGCCCAGGTCTGACTCAGTATAGCAGTATAGAATTGCTCAGTATAGCAATTCTTACACTCTTGACTTAAATACTTTTCTATCTAGAATTACCGGCATCTTCCAATTTAATGTTTGTAATTTTCAGTGTTGATGTTGACTTTCCATCTATAGTGTCATTTTTAAGAAGCTCCCTGCCACGGCTAAAAGTTCCTGGGAAGTGCCAGATTGCCCCCGAAGAAGAATTTGACTCGCATGTCATTGTTACTGTATCACCCTCAAAAATGTCGTCAGGAGAAATGGAGATGTTTGTTCCACCTGCAAGGCAAAAAGAGAAGTTCTCAAAACCAACGAAAAGAAAGCTTTATTTCTTGCTACATATACAGAGTGCATCAACTATTCATTTCACAGCTTCACTTGCTGCTGTTCTGAACGCACCCAGGAAAGCTTTGGAAAATTAGTTTGCAGAGTCTAGAAAAGGCCTTGACCAAAGGTGGTTGCAGCAAAAGTGAACATGTCTTGCTTTCCTGTCATGGAGTTTTATAAGTGGGATTTTCCAAAGTGACCAATGGCCGTTTAGCTGAGTGGGTTTAAACTCTCCATGTTTAGAATGAAAGCAGCACCAAAGGGCAGGTGTGCTTCCCACCTTCCAGGGCAAATGAGGAATCTCTATTCCCATTTTTCACTGGCAGAGTATCATCTGCAATTGCAACCCAAATACATATTCCTAATGTGATACATTGACAACCATGTATGATGCTGGCAACATTGCTCTTTGCCAGGAAGCTGAGTTTATCCCTTCCTCCACCAGCAGCTAAGGTAAAGGTAAAGGTACCCCTGCCCATACGGGCCAGTCTTGACAGACTCTAGGGTTGTGTGCCCATCTCACTCTATAGGCCGGGGGCCAGAGCTGTCCGCAGACTCTTCCGGGTCACGTGGCCAGCGTGACATCGCTGCTCTGGCGAGCCAGAGCCGCACACGGAACGCCGTTTACCTTCCCGCTAGTAAGCGGTCCCTATTTATCTACTTGCACCCGGAGGTGCTTTCGAACTGCTAGGTTGGCAGGCGCTGGGACCGAGCAACGGGAGCGCACCCCGCCGCGGGGATTCGAACCACTGACCTTTCGATCGGCAAGCCCTAGGCGCTGAGGCTTTTACCCACAGCGCCACCCGCGTCCCCCACCAGCAGCTAGAGCCCTGCTTTTCCCACATCAGCAGTTAATACCCATTGACTAGGGAAAGGTAAAGGGACCCCTGACCATTAGGTCCAGTCGTGACCGACTCTGGGGTTGGGGCGCTCATCTCGCTTTACTGGCCGAGGGAGCCGGCATACAGTCATGTGGCCAGCATGACTAAGCCGGTTCTGGCGAACCAGAGCAGCACATGGAAACGTCGTTTACCTTCCCGCTGGAGCGGTAGCTATTTATCTACTTGCACTTTGATGTGCTTTTGAACTGCTAGGTTGGCAGGAGCAGGGCCCAAGCAACAGGAGCTCACCCCATTGTGGGGATTCGAAGTGCCAACCTTCTTATCAGCAAGCCCTAGACTCAGTGGTTTAACCCACAGCGCCGCCCGCGTCCCATTGACTAATGACTATTAAAAACCCGTCCACCAAAGACAGGTAGATTTGACTTGATTCTTACTGTTGTGTGGATGCAGGGAAGACCCCTTTCACAGCCAGAAGCCATGGTGCAGAGTACACAGAGCTTTAGATGGCAGGATCCTTCTGGCCTAGCAAGGTTAAACTTTTCCCCTTGGAGTGCAGATGTGTTTATACACGTATATTGGGGAAGGTGCATCAGTCTGCACACACAACAGAACGACAAGTTCCTTGCATAAAACTATTTGGAGAGCTCTGTGAAACCAGAACATGAAGCTTCCACCAAAAAGTTCCGAAGACACCCTGCAGCACGCCCAGAGGCTACTGAGCACCCGGGACACAGGCTGTGCACATGCTGTGACTTTGAAACACACTTCCCCCTCAGATGATTCTGGGCACTGCAGCTTCCTCCTCAGGGTGCTGCTATTACCAGCAACTCTTTAGCAGGCTGCAGGGATCAAAAGTCTTTGAGGGAGAGAATGTGCTTTGAATGTGCTTTAAAGGCAGAGTGTGAGGGGGCGCAGCTTCTCCCTCCATAATCAAAATGGGGTGGTCTGGAGGGTGTTTTATATGTGTATTCATTGTGGGAGAAAAATGGCATTTCTACCATTAAAATGATAATATACATCTCAATAAGCAGGCTTTTGACATTACCATGCACTTCCATTGAAGACACCTCAAATGATGTGGGCACAATCTTGTAGGAACGATCTAAGGCTTCAGCTGCATCTGTATTTGCACTTTCAGGCGGCATATTCACTGCTGATGTTAATTCATATTGAACCATGATGCTTCCAGGTCTATGCAAAAAGGATATCATACCTGATTATTTCAGATTCATTATTAATATATGGGTATAAATTGTAAGATAAGAGTGGGAAAACAACAGTGACCTTACTGTGGGGGTCTGCTATAGAACGCCAAGCCAGACTGAAGACTTAGATTATGCCTTCCTAGAGCAGATTACCAACTTTCGAAAAAGAAGAGATATAGTAGTCATGGGAGACTAAAACTACCCAAATATCTGTTGGAACTCAAACTCTGCCAAGAATGAAAGGACAAAAAATTCCTCCATTGCCTTGCTGACAATTTCATTTCTCAGAAGGTGGAAGAAGCAACAATGGGATCATTTATCTTGGACCTGGTCCTCACCAATAGGGAGGAACTAATTTACCAAGTGGAAGTACTCGGAAACTTGGGAAGAAGTGATCCTGTCCTCTTGGGTTTCATGTTACATAGGCAAGAGAACAATGAGTGTAGTTGGACAGGCACTCTGAACTTTAAGAGGGCCAATTTCAAAAAGCTTAAGCATCACTGTATGAGAGATCCCATGATACGCAGGCTGAGACCCTACCTGCCTGCGGACTGTCTTGCCAGAGTGGTGCATGCTCTAGTTATCTCCCGCTTGGACTACTGCAATGCGCTCTACGTAGGGCTACCTTTGAAGGTGACTCGGAAACTGCAATTAATCCAAAATGCGGCAGCTAGACTGGGAGTGGTCGCCGAGACCACATAACACCGGTCCTGTAAGAGCTACATTGGCTCCCAGTACATTTCTGGGCACAATTCAAAGTGTTGGTGCTGACCTTTAAAGCCCTAAACGGCCTCAATCCTGTATACTTGAAGGAGCATCTCCACCCCCATCGTTCAGCCAGGACACTGAGATCCAGCACCGAGGGTCATGTTTGATGCTGTATTGTTTTTAATATTTGGTTGGAAGCTGCCCAGATGGGTGGGGTATAAATAATAAATTATTATTATTATTATTATTATTATTATTATTATTATTATTATTATTATTATTTTGTCAGAAATACTCAAAAAGAAGGGAGTCCAAGATCGATGGGAGTTTCTTAAAGGAGAAATATTGAAGGCCCAAATGCAGACAATACCAACAAGCAAGAAAAGTGGGAGGCATCTAAGGAGCTTACAGATGAGCTGAGATGTAAGAAGGGCATGTACAGTGGTGCCTCGCAAGACGAAAAGAATCCGTTCCGCGATTCTCTTTGTCTAGCGGTTTTTTCGTCTTGCGAAGCAACCCCATTAGCGTCTAAGCGGATTAGCGCTATTAGCGATTTAGCGGCTTAGCAGCTATTAAAGGCTTAGCGGCTAAGCTGTTAAAAGGCTATTAACGGCTTAGCGCCTTTGAAAAAGGGGGGGGAAAGCGGGGGGGGGGAGGAATGGCGAGACTCGCAAGACGTTTTCGTCTTGCAAAGCAAGCCCATAGGGAAAGTCGTCTTGCGAAGCGCTTCCGCAACGGAAAACCCTTTCGTCTTGCGAGGCATTCGTCTTGCGGGGCACCACTGTATAAGAAATAGAAGAAAGGGGAAATCACAAAGGAGGAGCAAACAGTTGCAAGGAGCAGGTTAGCTGGGTCCAGCTAAGGATGAACTCAGGCTTGCAAGAGAGGTTAAAAACAATTTTTAAAAGGTTTCTTTGGCTATGCTTGAAGCAAGAGGAAGAAGAAGCAAGTGGCAGGTGCTCTGCATGGAGAAGACAGAGAAATACTATTGGGTGACAGGGAGAAGGCAGAACGGATAAACTTTGCATCTGTCTTCATGCAGTGCAGGGGGTTGAGCTAGATGACCCTCTGGTCCCTTCCAACTCTATAATTCTATGATTCTATGTAATAAATAATGAAAAAATTAATGATGTTTTTAACATTTTAAAAAGATTTTTATAGATATTGGGAAGGAAAAGGAGAAACTAGTTTCAGCTACAGCTTCTTTGTCACCTTATCTACCTGGCCAATGGAGAGGAAAGCAAAATATTAAAAACATAAAAGGCTTTAAAACTGAAATAAAATTGTCCGTATCCTATTTTAAATGCTAGTAAATATTCACATTTATGTATTGATCCTGATGATGGGCAAGTTGCAGCCCCTGCCAAAAGCTATTTTAATTAGGCTCTGGCATCCCAACCTCATGCTAACCAGGATGTGGAATAAAATTTGTAGGTGCTGAGGTTATTTTACACTCAAATAAATATTATGTTTTGCTTTGGCAAAGGTGTTCACACTGTGGCTAGAGACCAAGCAGGAATGACTTAAGGACTCCATTCGGTGTGAAACTGGTATGACAAACAGCACATCCAAGAGCAGTATTTCATAACAAAGTGCAGGATTCGCTTGCATTTTGGATAACATTGTATTAACATGGATTTAAAAGTAAGCACTGGAAATGCAGTGAGCATACAATAAACAGAAGTGTAAAAACACCCTTAATGTCAACTGCCTGAGGGGGTGGAGGCAAAACGAAGGTGCCTCCTCCCAAAAGGGGAAGGGGGGTCAAGAAACGTGTGGGGGGGGAGCAGGCATGTGTTTGTGTGTGCTGCGCCTACCTTTTAAAATTAACAAGGTGTCCAGATGGAATCCTTTAAGAAAGCCCTGTGGTCACTTGCAGGGTGTCGGGCTCTTTGCAGATGGGCAGCACTTGGAATGGCCGCACAGCCACAGAATCATAGAATTGTCGAATTCAAAGGGACCTTGAGGGCATCTAGTTCAAGTCCCCCCAACTGAGAAATCTCTGCTCAAGCTTCCGTGACAGATGGCCATCCAGCCTCTGCTTTGAAACCTCCAGTGAGTCCACCACCTTCTGAGGAAGCCCATTCCAAACTGCACTTCTTTCTCGGAAGTGCTTTTCTAAAACATTTAAATTCAATAATTTGACTAATGTACAAAGATCAAAGCATTTTTTTTATTTTCTCCTGTAATCCATGTGAGTGCAAAGGGAAAGAAGGTGAATGTTTTCTATACCTGAATCCTGCAACTTTTACACTTCTGAAGCCTGGCAATGATTTGTATCCCTTGGTAAACTGGAAAAAAAACCAACAATATAAATTATGACATCTTTATGAGACAATTAAAACCTCATAGGAAACTGGACTGTTTTATTTCACTTGGTAGACTTTGAACATGCCTACTTCATGCATGAAATGAAATGAATCTATTACATTACTTTATTACTCTGTTACTGATTTTATTAAACTATTTATGGATGGCCCACCTGCACCCAATTTGGAAATGATCCATTAAAGATTAAAAATACTTCCACTCAGCTACTGCAATTAGAATCTCTTTTTTAATTAAATCATTTCCAAATCAGCAAGGCCGCCAGGCCATATCAGGAGCCCAGTGTCACCATCAGGAGTATGTTGGGGGCTCAATAGTTTTTGGACCCTTTCCGAACCATTTTGGAATGGATAACCTTCACACACCCCAACTCACTAAATGTGCCCCGTTTAAGGGCATCCAAAACACCCTCGGAATCAGTGCAGTTGGCACAGTGCTGCTGTAACATGATAATAGCGCCCAGTCAATAACATGGCAGCTGCATTTTGCACTAATCAGTTTTTGAGCAGTTTTCCAAAGCAGCCCATGTAAGGATCCCTTAAGATATTTTTTGAAGATATTAAATCTATCTTCTGCAGATAGCTATTAGAATAATCTCAGCAGGTATGTTGCACTATAACATGTACCATGAAGTTTTGACCTATGAAAACCTCAGGACTGCCATACCTCAAGGATCACCTTGTAGGAGGTATTTTAATAGCTGGGAGAGGATATATGAATTGCAATTTACCTCTCCAGGTCTCACATTCATGGGCTGAACAGAGTTTTAGAAGTCCCATCCTCGGCAGCAACATGGAGGCCTGTCAGAATTGGCAGTAAGTGGTGCCTTCTTTTAATTAAGTCCAGCTACAAATCAAGCTGGCTTCTCCCTTTATTGCACTGCTTAAGATTTAATTGGACAACTGGCAAGTAAGCTCAAAATATGATTTATTTACTCAATAGTCTTGCACTAGTTTTCAGCTACAGTATCAGTAAAAACTATGCAGGGGAAATACTTATATTTACAGTAAAAACAGTCTCAGGCTTGTGCCTGGAACTGGAGCAAGTGCAGGACACGTCTGTCCTCATGGCTGGCTGAGGAGAGAGGAGGGAGGGGGAGGGAAGAGGGGAAGAGGGGAAATGACATCACATAGAGCCCTCTCTGCCAACTACATTTTCTGTAGTCTGAGTAGCTGCCTATCAGCAATATAGCTCTGTAGTATTAGCCCCTTCTTATGCTAACTAGCAAGGGACACGGGTGGCACTGTGGTCTAAATCACGGAGCCTCTTGGGCTTGCCGATCGGAAGGTTGGCGGTTTGAATCCTCGCAATGGGGTGAGCTCCCATTGCTTGGTCTCAGCTCCTTCTAACATAGCAGTTCAAAAGCACATCAAAGTGCAAGTAGATATCCTCCAGCGGGAGGGTAAATGGTGTTTCTGTGCACTGCTCTGGTTCGCCAGAAGCAGCTTAGTCATGCTGGCGACATGACCCGGAAGCTGTCTGTGGACAAACGCTGGCTCCCTCGGCCAGTAAAGTAGAAGAGCACCGCAACCCAGAGTCGTTCGCGACTGAACTTAAGTGTCAGGGGTCCTTTACCTTTACCGTATGCTAGCTAGCAAGAATATGTGTTTGTTAGGTTTGGCTGCTAATCTCGCACATGCATCTCCTCATATGAACCAACCCAGACCCTGCAGTCATTGGCTGTGGCCCTTCTTTGTGTGGGTCCTCTGTGGGATGCCCACAGGGTGGCAAGACAAGAACTGGCCTTTTCTGTGGTGGCTCCCCGTTTGTGGAATGCTCTCCCCAGGGAGGCTCGCCAGGCACCATCATTACATATTTCTAGGCACCAGGCAAAAACATTCCTCTTCTCCCAGGCCTTTGACTAATTAAACAATCTATGGCCATTTTAACGGTGGCGGGGGAGGGGAATCATTTTGTTTGCAACAATGTATTTTTGGGTTTTTATATTGTAAACTGCCCTGTGATCTTGTAATAATAACAGAAATGCAATATATCTCTGCCACATGCAGAACCAGCTCAAACATACCGCTTTCTCCAAATCACTTTTGTATCGCTTAAACATGCTAGAGGACAGATTTCTCAGATCATCTTCAAAGTCTTTGTCAAGCCGGACAGACATTTTTATAATGTATATAAACGTAACACCTAGTGTAGAAAAGAACCGGAAAAGTAGTATTACTAGTAGTAGCAACTACTGCTGATTACTACACAGCGATAAATTTTGTTTTTAAAAAAAATCACCATAAAATTCTTTCAATCTGTCCTCAAATCTTAAATATCTGTTCCTGTCTTGTTGTTTTGCACACAGCAAAGAAGAGAGACCTTAGACTAAACCGCAGCACTGGAAGCACATGGAATTGCATGTAGAGGAAGAGCAGCTTGGCTGCGGGAATAAGATTGTAAATAAAATGGGGGAGGAGACCTCAGAGAGTGTAGCAATAAGAATAAAGGAGGTCAGGGAAAAGGAGAGGCAAGTCCTGCGGAAGACCTCTCTCAGGAAGGAGTTCCCTAATCCATGGTGCAGGCAGGAGAGACCAGAGCCGTTGCTGGGCTCTCTTTAAGAAGCAAGTTCCACTGAATTCAGGGTTTACTCCTGGTCAGCGAGTATAGGATTGCAGTCCATCTTTGAGATAATTCACATGGTAAATGTGTGACAAGTGAGGGGTTCAAATGTTACAAAAAGCACTGGGAAGCAAAGTTTGAATTCTAAAGCTGAAATGAAATTTCATGAGATGGCCCTGCCCTGAATTCCTTGGGGAAAGGGATAAAAGTGTTTTCAATGAAATGTCAAAATCCAGCAAATTTCAAATTCTGCTGACATCAAAATCAGATGTCCTAATGTGAAATACTCCTTTTCCCAGTATGGTTGTCCTCATTTCCTGCCCATTACCCCCCCCCTACCTGCAGATTGCGGTTGACAGTAGGTCCCCCACGGAGGCCGCTGTGCAAGGCAGGTGCAGCTCTCTCCTGCCGGCGCAGCCCTGGGACAGGCTGGAGTAGCTCTGCATGCGCTGGCCGGCCATTCATAGCCCGGCTCACAAGAGCAGTGGGTGCCCTGGGGGCCACCTGAGCTGCACACTAAGGTAAAAAAGCATGGAACAAGAAGGCTGCAGGTGAGACAGGGTATTTTGCTGAGCAACGTCTGCTTCCTAATTATAATTCCCTCTGTGCATGACATTCACACTGCACAAATAGTTCTTTGAAAGTTGTCAACATTGTTTGACCAGACAGTTGGACAGTTTCTCTAATATTGGCTAAAACTGTAGTAGCAGAGCTCGCCATCTCTTTTTACAATGTAGAAAACCCTACAGTACAGCTGTAAATTACTCTGGAAATATCACAAAATGCCAGCTACATTTAGTCTAATTCAGATATTTTTTAAATCTAGCCTCTTCTCATTGGACTTTCCCCCCTTTTCTTAAAAACAAAACAATAACCTAAAACCAGAGAAAGCCAATTTAAAAAGTGGAAACTAGTGACATATAACCCACCTGTGGTGACATCAATGCTTGAAATGTTCACAGCTGGATCAGAAGCATTTACTGAGACTGGGAAGTTAAGGCTGTTTGAATAACTTCTGAGGGCCCCCAGGAGGGAGGAATCTGGAAGACTTATCTCAACAGCAATCGTGTATTCTACAGGCGAGATGCCTAATGTCACATCTGGAAAACAATTTGATAAGTTAGGCATGTTATAATTACCAATCACAAACTCCGTTTCCTTCTCACAAATCGTTTATATCTCTCTATACGTAAGACAGCCTCAGGATCAGGAACAAGGAGGCCTCGCCTGAGAATACATTTTTGGACCAGGGGGCTGCTGGCTTTCTCCTTGTCCCAACAAATTTCCACGGTTTTGAGCCTGAATGTGTTCATTTCCATTCTCATTCTCCCTCTCTCTCTCATGTGGGTGAGCCAAGATCCTTCAGCCCTTGGATGAAGATTTCTAAAATGATGATTCAAATGAGGGAGGCATAAAAATCCCATAAAAGCCCCATAAAAATAATGATTGCAGTGGCACAGGATAGCAATTTAGAGAGGCCAAAATGTGGCGGCCAAGAGGGCCAAAATGGAGCCCAGCAGACTTCCTCTGCGCACGCAGCTCCCTGGCGATCACGGAAACGTCCTCCTGCCTCTTTGGCCGGTTTAGCAGAGCGATACGCAACGGTCAAAACTGCTGCAGTGTGTGGGTAATAACTCAGACTTGCACGCAGGCTTCTCTCTTATCTCTAACAGCCTTTATTCGTGTAGCATAACATCGTAAATTCAGTCTTAAGCACCCGGTGACGACTCGCACATCTTTCCTCTCGGACAGAGCGGAAGAGAAGAACACACACAGAGAAACCACTCCCGTATGTGTCACTGTAACCACGCCTCATGATGCGAGACGTCATTCAGAACGTCACTCAGAACTTTTAACCCTGTACGTTCTGAAACCTTTAACACCCCCTCTCGTCTCGCATCTTGAGGGAAACTGTGAACACCTATTTACAGACCTCTTTGAGTTCAACTCACCTCCCATTGCCTTTTGCCTTCTTCTGGCATCTGTCCCAGGCACCTGTTGAACCCCTTCAACACTCCCAGAATCGCACTGTGCGAAACCAACCCACGCACTGGTGACCTCAAACCTCTCAGGTGGAACACCCTTCATGGTGCATGCTGACCGTCTGAGCACAAACTCAGGTGCTCCTCCTGACCCATTGGGGTCAGCAAGCGTGTCCTCTACATCAGAAGACTCCCCCTCTGACTTGCTGCGTCTTCGGGCCTTCTGGACTTTGCTAACAGGAGATGAAGGCTCACTCTTGAGTTCTCTCTTAACAACCTGCGGAGAAACCCAACCCTGTGCTTGACCCTCATCAGAGACCTGGTCCTCAGCAACAGGCTCAGCCTCTGCCTCTCCTTCCTCCTCAGAATCAGACAGACATTCTGAGAGAAAATCAGGACCATCACTGAGTCTTGACCACCCATCCTGTTCACAGAACTCAGCATGCTTACTGACCAGAAGCTTGGTCTGATCACCCCCTGGGTATGCAAACTTCCACCCATTGGTTTCAGGTTCGTACCCACAGAAGATCATTTCCTGGTACTTTGGACCACCTTCCTTCCGTTGAGCTGTTGGTATAGGCACTAAAGCCTTGGACCCAAACACGCGGAAGAAGTGTAGCTGTGGTTTTTTCCGGTGCAACAGAAAAAACGGTGTGTCACCTATAACGTGGTTATAGGACCTGTTAAATGTAAAGCTGGCAGCTTTCCAAGCTTCACTCCAAAAACTCTGAGGCAACCCAGAGTCACACAGTAGAACCCTGACAGCTTCAGCCAGTGTTTTACTCCTGTGCTCTGCCACACCTCTCTCTTGAGGAGACTTAGCACCCGTCACCTGGTGACGTATTCCCTTTTGCTTGAAAAACTCCTTCAGAGCAGACCCAGTAAACTGTGACCCACGGTCGCTCTTGAACCCTTGCACCTTGGTGGAAAACCTTAGTTCCACCTCCGCAACCCAATCTTTGATCAGTTGCGCCGCTTCGCCTTGCGTCTTCAGCGAGAAAGACCAACCGTTCTGGCTGTAATCATCTGTCAGCGTCAGCACATACCTGGCCCCACCCAGACTCGGACACTCCATGGGTCCTGACAGGTCTGTGTGTACAAGCTCAAAAGGTTGTGTGGCTACCCTCTCCACCCTGGGATAACTGCACCTTTGTACCTTTGCCCCTTTGCATGCCCTGCACTCTAGGGATCTCCCACATGCTTTGAGTTTGCACCCCTTAGTGCAGCTGGGCAACTTCTGCACATCTTCCAAACTGCTGTGCAACATTCTCCTGTGCCACAGATGAACACATGAATCATGACTGGGAACACTAGCACACTGCGCCTGTGCTCTTTCTGCATTCCCCCCACCCTCCAGAGGTGTCTCCAGAACAAAGAGATTGTTCTTGCATTCCACGTTGACAAGCTGTTTCCCCCCTCTGGAAATGGAACAGACATCATTTTCAAAGCAAACTTTGTACCCTTCCTTTACAAGAGCAGGTACAGACAACAATGCATCTCTGGCACAACGTAGACTTCCAGCTGCGCCTGCAAAAAGGAAACATAAACATTTGCAACGTTAGAAACTGGCTTTTGTGATCCATTAGCAAAATGAAAAATTCTCCCAGCTGAAACAGCCCTGCAGTCCCGCATCCCGACAGCAGGTGTCTCTCTAATCAGGTGATGACTCGCTCCCGAATCTATTATCCAGCGCATCACCGTGTCCTTGCTGGAGTTGTTCTTTAAGGTTGCCATAGAAGCAGTGAGGTGATAAGAACAGCCTCCACTCTCTGAGTCACGTCCTTCCTTCGCGTTCCCACGCTGACCTCCTCTCCTGGACTGGTTCCCATGGGAAACGACCTTGGATACATCCTGCCCGACCTCTCTGTTCCTCTGCGGACAGGATCTTTTGAAATGGCTGTTGGACCCACAGACATAACACTGACGAGTGGAAAAAGCCTGAACAGAGCTCTCAGCTGGCGGCTTGGCCCCCCTGCAACCGGATGGGCTCCCTGTGCCAGCCCTGCTCTCTCTGACACGGCGCTCCTGTTCGTCAGCTAAGCGTCCCGTCACGTACTGCAGAGTCAAATCCGCGGGACTCATCGATTCCAAAGTTAGACACAAATTGTCATAACTTTTGTCCAAAGAGCTGAGCAAAATATAAACCTTCAGCTCCTCTGAAAAGTTGACTTGCAACAGCCTCAACTCATTGAAAACAGAGAGCATCTCAGTAACATGCTGTCTGATGTTGCCACCTGGACGCAACTTCATCTCAAACAAGCGTCTAGTGGTGTGGATCTTTGCACCAGCCGTGGTCCTATGGTGCACTCTCTCTAGCGCTGCATAAGCTTCCTGAGCAGTGTCCAGCCCCTCCACCAAGGGTAGCTGTGAACCCTCCAAACTGAGCACTATAGCTCCCAGGGCTTTCTGGTTTTTTCTCTGTGAAGCGTGAGCAGCTGCAGCCTCCGCTGCCGAAGCACCGGCCGCCGCTGGTGGCAGTGGAGGCCCTTGGACCGCCTCCCACAGCCCCTTGGCTACCAGCCAGGCCTTTAGCTTCCAGCTCCATTCCTGCCAATTTTGTCCGTTTAATTTTTCGAAGGGAACGGAATATGATTCCTGACTGTCTGCCATCTCCTCCCCCGGGGCTAAGCGTACTCACGAACAACAGCAGTAGCTTCCTCCGGCTCCCGGCAGATCAGCGTCTCCTCCCAGCGAGCTCCTTTCAGCCTCAAAGAAAGCAAAGCTCTAGCTGGCTCCAGCGTCTTCCCAGTTGGCTCCCCCACACATGGGACGTCTCTCCTGCAACAGCTTCAAAGCTTTGGCAAAGTGCCCATAACCTGTGGCGGCCAAGAGGGCCAAAATGGAGCCCAGCAGACTTCCTCTGCGCACGCAGCTCCCTGGCGATCACGGAAACGTCCTCCTGCCTCTTTGGCCGGTTTAGCAGAGCGATACGCAACGGTCAAAACTGCTGCAGTGTGTGGGTAATAACTCAGACTTGCACGCAGGCTTCTCTCTTATCTCTAACAGCCTTTATTCGTGTAGCATAACATCGTAAATTCAGTCTTAAGCACCCGGTGACGACTCGCACATCTTTCCTCTCGGACAGAGCGGAAGAGAAGAACACACACAGAGAAACCACTCCCGTATGTGTCACTGTAACCACGCCTCATGATGTGAGACGTCATTCAGAACGTCACTCAGAACTGTTAACCCTGTACGTTCTGAAACCCTTAACACAAAATACCTCTGGCCAAAACACAAGTGCCAAAGACACCGTACGCTAATGCTAGAAGATGCTGAGCCCAGATGGGTGAACTGGAGTGCTTGGTCTTAGAGGATGACATTGACATAGTGGACACAACGGAAAATGGAGACAACCAGTAGGACACCGTTATCTCTGGATATAAGCACTATAGGAAGGACAGAGAAGGACATATCTCTCTGGATGTCAAAGAGGACAGTGAGTCCAGCAAGCCAGGAATCCCCCAAAGGCAGACTCCGTGATAATTATTTAGTAACGAGGACATGCTGTCATCCTCTTGATGAAAATGCTGGGAGATATTGAGATGATAAATGAAATCAAGGAAATGTCCAAAGGAGGAAATGTTGTGGTATTGGGTGGCGTTAACTGGTATCCTCACAGAGACTGGCTACAGAGGTGTTCCTGTTGGAGAATTTGTAAGGGCTTCGCCCCTCAGGTACGTACTTGCTGGTGGAGGTTGTCTCACATTGACTTGCAATGCCCAGATAAATGTCCTTTTGACTGACAGTTGGAGTCTGGATCCTATTAGCTGTCCAGCCTGAACTACAGTACAGTGGTACCTCAGGTTAAGAACTTAATTCATTCTGAAGATTGGAAGAAATTTAAAATATATCTTAAAAATTGTTGTAACATTGAGGAGTGCTGAGATGTTATGGTGTTAAGAAACAGAGAATTGCAGCTGTAAATCATAAACTTAAGGGAATTATAATGAAGATGAGTTAATTAATTAAATGGAGGGTTGCTGTGAAAAGGTAGAAGTAAGGATGCAGAAAAAGGGAGGTATGGGGAAGTCCGGGAAGTAAGGTGAAGGAAAATAAGTTTTTGAAATTATACATGTTTATTTGTTTGTATGTTTTGTTCTGTTTTATTGTTTGTTTTTATTACATGTTTGGAAAATTAATAAAAATTATTTAAAAAAAAAAAAGAACTTAATTCATTCTGGAGGTCTGTTCTTAACCTGAAGCACCACTTTAGCTAATGGGGCCTCCCGCTGCTGCTGCCGCTGTGCCACCACCGTGCGATTTCTGTTCTCATCCTGAAGCAAAGTTCTTAACCCGAGGTAATATTTCTGCATTAGCAGAGTCTGTAACCTGAAGTGTATGTAACCCGAGGTACCACTGTTGTGGGTTGGGTATTAAACCCCACTTTCCCGCCAACAATCCAGGCATGACAAAGCGAATGACAGTTCTAGATCTGGAAAGTGGCCAATGGAGCACCCTTTTTTTTTAGGGGATCCAGAGGGGATCCTGGAAATTACAAGTCAGTCAGCTCAGTGTCTGTTTGGGGGAAACTGGTGGAAAGTATTGTTAAAGTTAAAATAACCACGCATAAACCTGTTCATCTTTGATGCTTCCATTCTTCCGCCTGAATTGTACTATGCTCTTAGCAAACAGTTCATCTGAATATTTTCATGATGAAAAGGATTTCTTGTGTTCAGGCCAGAGTACCCTGGCTGCATATCTAAGAACAAAGATTCTGCCTTCAAGCAAAACACACTGTTGAGAAGTATTAACGTACCCTGCCGTTTCTGCCTGTGCAACTCTCTCTGTTCCTCTCCTCCGTTACCTTTGCTGTAAATCTGAAAGAGATGCACCCACAACATCACAACATTAGGAAAATTGGTTAAGAGCAATACAATGGGGGGAAGGGGTTCCAAGAAGAGCTAAACCCACTCATCCCTCATGAACCGATAGTCTCGAAAGTCAGAGTGTGCTCAGAAAGAAGCAAGATCTGAAGAAATGTGGGCCTCTGCCTTTTCAGAGCTCTCTAAAGTAGGAGTCAGAAAGCCACAGGGGTGAATTGGGGTGGCCACCTCAAGTCCTGATACGGTTTCTGCAGGGGCTCTTCCGCCCCTTCCCCCTGTGGCATGGCTGGCTTCAGCAGTGTGGCCACAGGAGGATAGCTCTGGCCAACCCTGCCATGCTTTCCAGAGTGTCTTTGCATTGAAAGAACAGCCATATGCTCATAGATAACTGTGAAGCTACACACAGAAAACATTACTCACAGGTGAATGGGTGAACGAGCCAAAATTAAAATTTTGGGAAGCTGTGCTGACAACTATGAGGGTACAGAACATTGTTATCTTCCAAGGCAGCATTTTTCCCGTGTTTTGTTGCTGTAGAACCTACAAGAAAATCAAAATATGATATTCTACTATTATTTTAAAATAAAATTAACATAGTTTCCCTTCTAAAGAGTCAGTCCTATGAAGAATAGGCTGTAGAGAAAGTTAGCACATTTGTTTTTTAAGAATCCTATATACACACTGTTCCTTCATTATGCTGCTGCTGCTGTTCTGTGGCAAATTCCTTTTCTTATTTTACAATCTTCCTGTTTGTAATCCTTCTTTCCTTTAAAGCCTTCCGACATGGGGGACAGGATCCCATAGCATTAACTCAAGGCACCCCAGAGCCGCCTTCTGGATCCCATCAGCCCAGGGAGAAACAGCACCCCTGCAACTCACTGCCACCAGGCTCCGAGAGCCAGTCGGGCAGAAGACCATGGTCAATGGTATTGCAAGCCACCAAGAGGTCCAGAAGAACTCACAGGGACACTGCCTCTTGTCTGGTGTAAGGCATCCATCAGAGCAACTGGTGCTATTTTGATGCCAAAACCAGGCCAGAAAACAGACTGAAGTGGCTCTAGAAAACTAGTGTGATGCAAGCGGAGCGGGGAAAGAAAGCCAGTCAGTGGAGGAGACCAGTAGTGCCCTGTGATGATGAGGGAGCCCCATATCTCTGCAAAGCAGCCTGACAGTGGTGGACCTTGGGCTCTCACATTTTAGCAGCGCCCTGGACAACACCAAAATGCAGCGACCCCCCCCCACCTCCCATTCTACAACATAGTTTGGCACCCGTGAGGCTCTGCACCCCGTGAGACCAAGCAGTTCACGCTCCTCTACATCCACCTCTGAGCCTAACTGACATGTCGCCTGGAGCTGCAGCACGTGCTTAACTGTAATTGTTGCAATACAGGAACTAATTGGTGCTTGTGGGACACTTGTGGCTCCTCCCCGGGGCTCTTCCAGACGTCCTTTTGAGCCATGTTTCTAGGCACAGGTCCACACTTTAAAGCTCTGCATCTGATCACTTCCCCACAGCGCTTTCCCTGCGAAATCCCACTTTTTACCACTGAAAACAATTCCACAGAAACCCTGAATTGCTGTTTGTCCCAATTCAGCATTAAAGAGCGGGTTTTCCTGGGGAAACCAGGGTGGGGCAGGAAGCAGGGGCATACCTAGCTGCTCTGGCAACCGGTGGGGCAGGGGCGGGGCAATCTGTGCATGAGGGCAGCGCAGGGCCCCAAGCCACTGCGTCACTCCCAGGAGAGACGTGTGGCTCAGGAGCACTGCAGGCCAAGCCCCTCAGTAAGTGCCCCCCCCCAAGGGTGACACCTGGGGCGGACCGCACCCCCCTTCCTACGCCCCTGGCGAGAGGCGCTCAGACACAGGCTGGGAAAGTGTGGAGCTGTGCCTCGGAAGCAGGGGGCAAAAGGTCAGTGGGGATGAGGCCTCAGTAAGTAAGAGTCTGGGCTCAAGTGATGCTCAAAGCACAGGAGGCACATCTGATTTGGGGGGAAAGACTGTGACCGGAAACCCCTCTCCTCCACTAGTTTCATTTGCTGAATTAAGTTCAGCATAATCCTCACAAAGAAAGCCCAGAAGCCCCTTTGCTCTCCCTTGCTGCAATATTGAAGGGCACCTAAGCTCTCTGGAGGAATGGCAGAGCTTGCTGCTGCTGCTGCTGCCACCTCCTGCCACAGTTTATATTATCACACTCTTTTTTTTTTTTAATTCTTTTTATTAATTTTCACAAACAAAAGAGAATAAAGAAAAACATAAGATACAAATTATAAAAACAAAAAAACAAAAAGAGAAATAAAGCAATCTTTTAAAATCAACATTTTGTACCGTCTTCTTTACAAAGCGCATACTCACGCCTTGACTTCCCTCCTCCCCCGCATCAGCTTTCTTAATACATATCTTCTCCTACAGATTCTTATTCTTATTCCCTTTTTGTGCACATCACATGATTTATGTCAGACCCGCTGCAGTTTTTAAACTTCTGCAATTTATCTTTATATAAGCAACAAATTTTCCCCATTCTTCCTCAAACTTTGACCCTTTTTGATCTCAGATTTTATAGGTCATTTTGGCCAATTCTATATACTCAAAAAGTTTCACTTGCCAGTCCAATACTGTTGGAATTTCCTGTGATTTTCATTTTTGAGCAACAAGAATCCTGGCTTCTTGATTTCTGGCATGTGGTGAACACACTCGATAGAACATTTATGCTACTCAAGTTGCTCATTGTGTTGTTATGTTGGTCACAAGAAATGGTGCGTGTAAAAAAGTTTCAGGTAACATCTTATCATATTTGCTTAAGGTTATGAATCTCAAATAAAATTAAATCATGTAGATTTTTCTTTTCATTCGTTGGCAGAGGAGGTGCATGTTTTTGTGACCAATGTAACAGGCATGCCCAACATAAATTTTGTTATCTGAAGGTGGTCTTATTCTGCTCCTAGGATAAAATTTATTGTCAGTTCACCAAATGAGAAATATTATCAAAACGATAAAGTGTCATTAACCTATTATCTGTTTTCCTGGAGAGGTCTTTAACTGAACTTTAGAAAACAATTAGAGAAGTTCTGAGTTATCTTGTGTGTCATACTTCTGATTGTTTTACTCATGTGTAAATTGCCATTTTGAAAATCTGTTGCCATATATATATTTTCTTTAAAATGATACACAACACTTTAACTATATATGAAAATGAAAAATGGGTCTGTAGATTGATGTTTTCATGGAATTAATGTTGGCCTTTCCTCTTTCCCCCCAAAACATACCATCCAAAGCAGTGTCTCCTCTCCAAAAACTGTACTAGCTGTGTCTTCAAAGTTGGTTTTGGATTCATTCACGGAGAAAGACTATTGCTCCTCCTTAATCCAGCTCCTCTTATAAAGCAAACAATCTCAGAGCAAGTCTAGGCTTGGCTGCCCAGACAAGTGCCATTAAGTTCAGTGAGACTTATTCCTAGGTAAGTTCGTTTGTCGTAGATTTCAGACTCCGTGACCTGGGGTTGACAAATGGTTCCCAATGAGCAAATACTCTATTCAGACACTACTCAGACTTTTCACCTTTCCTCCTGGAGAGAGCCTAGTGAAGTGATGCTACAGCTGTCTCTTGGGTTCCCCTCAATCTGATGTCTTTCCTCCTTCCCAAGGCACATAAGATACAGTCCTGCTTTTTTACCTGATCAGCTTTCTCTGGACGCAGCCCTCCTATGCAGATCTGGGATCTGTGGACATCTCCTTCCCTGCGCAGTCCGGGGCTCCTGCTTTGCTGGTTACTGAAGGGAAGTCATGCCCAAGGCAGCAAGTTAAAGAAAGTGAGCTGCGCGTTGCTGCGCAGGCAGGATCTGGGCAAGGGAGGAAGTTGAATTTCACTGTCTGTTCAGTGGGATTGTCGAAGTTATTTCCTGATGCCATTCACCTGATCTAAGCTTTTCAGTTTATTTTATCTGAGCAAGCAGGCAAACATGTTCCACAGGCATTTTACTTCTGAGAGATGCATTTGTCATGTTTGTTTGTTTGGGGTTTTTGTTACCAATGAAATGGATGAGAAAACACCAACAGAAAAGCTTCAGCCTTGCCTTGCCTCCAAGCATAGCTAAGGAGGACTTCTACTGCCAGATTTGCTTCTAAGCATGATGCCAAATATTTAAATTAAGAACTAATACAGTGGTGCCTCACAAGACGAAATTAATTCGTTCTGCGAGTTTTGTTGTCTTGCGATTTTTTTCGTCTTGCGAAGCACGGTGTCGGAAAAGTTTTGGAAAAGCTTCAAAAACCACCAAAGTCTTCAAAAACCTCAAAAAAGGCTACCACACCGCGTGCTATGAGTTGCTCCTCGAAGTCAAGTCGCAACTGTATTAACGGTGTTAAGAAAAAGGAAACAAACTTGCAAGACGTTTCCGTCTTGCGAAGCAAGCCCATAGGGAAAATCGTCTTGCGAAGCAGCTCAAAAAACCAAAAACCCTTTCGTCTTGCGAGTTTTCCGTCTTGCGAGGCATTCGTCTTGCGAGGTACCACTGTATATTGTTGGCATAGTTTAATTCTCTCACAGCAATGGGGAAGGCACAATAATATATAGCAGCATTTCTTTTTTAAAGTTGCTGTTAAAGCCCTGTCATTTAGTGCAGGCAGGAAGCAGGACTGAACACAAGGGTCCCACTAGCACTTGCTATATGAAAAGTCCCTTATCCAAACACAAGGAAGTAGCGCCCAAACCTCACCTTGCACACCACAGATTCAGATTTCCAGAAAGTCAGGTGTGTGTGTAGTGCTGTAAAAAACACAAAAACAAAAAACAAGCAGCCTTAAACAAGCCTTACTCTTTCTGTTTTACTCATCCGTGACAGCTGTTTTCCCAGAAACTGGGGGTGGGGGAAGAGATTAGACAAATATTTTTTTTCCTTCCTTGTTTGCCTTCTGCAGGGTTTCAGGGGGTTTTCCTGGAGTTTTCTGGGCAGGGTTTCTGTCCTTTGGCGTCAAAATTTGGGGTCAGGAATGCATTAGAAATTTCCCCATAGGAATGAATGGAAATCATTGACTTGTTATGTGAATGCTCGCCTAACAAACCATTTCCTGAGAACGCATTGTGTTCCTCTAGCAGAACCTGTGTGTATTGTAACCCTTTCCAGAAAGCTGCCCCTAGAAGCCTTCCTTACCTCGGTTGCTCTGTCAATGGCACTATTAATTGGTTGAGTAATAATAGCCCATAGTTTCACTCCAGTATCAAAATATCAACAGATTAGTTTCCTATGATTAAAATAATTCCCATGTGCTATTAAAGCACAATATATTTCTCACAAAAGTAAGGCATTTTAATTGAGCAATAAGGACAATCACAGATACATAAAAATGGTTCAAATTAATTCTAGTTCAGAATAAGGATGGAGCAATATTTAAAAATTATACAACAACCAGAGGAAGAAATGAAAACAAATCCAAATATGATGCCCAAAATTTCAGTTAAGTTATTTTTTAAAAAATCATTATTTTAGGTGTTACCAGAGGTCAGGAACCTTCAGTCCATGGGGAATCTCCCCATCTGGCCCCAGAGGTCATGCTGGGCAGGCCACACCCACCCAGCCCACACTTGATGTCATACACAATGTCAGGTGTGGGCAGGAAAGGGCAGGGCTTGGCGTAAAGGGACTTTGTAGGCCCTGCGGATTGGGAGGCCTGCAAAGGTCTCTTGCACAGCTTTCAACGTGCCTGATAACTTTCTGTCTCATTGTGCGAAGCAGGAACTCTGTGCACCAGCTGCTGCGCAGTGGGGTGAGAGAGAGAGCGCTCCCTGCACAGAACTCTCTTACAGACACAATCCCATTTTTGCCTGGCGCCTAAGCATATATAAGGAAGGCACCAGGCGAACCTCCCTGGGGAGAACACTCCACAAGCAGGGAGCCACTGCAGAAAGGCCCCGTTCTCGTGTTGCCACCCTCCGGACCTCACGTGGAGGAGGGAAACAAAGAAGGGGAGAGGCAGTTCTTAAGGTCTTGTGGTCCTGAGGCACTTGCAAGGCAAGGGAAGGGGCTGTTTCCTGGCTCCTCACTTTTCTGTGGCGCTTGGTCAACAGGCAGCTGCGAGTCCAATGCAGGACCCCCCCCCCCAAGCAGGGGGCTCTGAGGGGCAGACAGAGGGCAGGCCCCCCTTAGGCAGGAAGAAAGGGGGCAGAGAGGAGTGGAAGGAGTCTTGATCTAAAAATAAATGCTTTGTGCATCCACATCTAATCTTGCCCCTTTCTAAAAGTTGCTTATTGGTGTGTGTTTTTCTTTTTGTCAATCTACCAAAGAATAAAATAAAATAATATTGGGATTATGGGTTTTTCTCAGGATGGTGGAGGGCCTGTGCCCCGTGTCCCCTTGATGTGGGGATGGGGGCACTCACCCTCCTTCTGATAGGAAATGCTCTGCAGGAAGAAGGGGCACAAAAACAGGGGGTTGAAGAGGATCAGTTGGGAGGGGGAGTGAGAAATGTCCCTCTTTTCATCTGAGGAATGTTGGAGGGTATGATACAGCTTATTATGACTTGTAAGAAACAAAATCCTACACAAAGCAAGAATCAAGGGGAGAAGCTGTGAGAATGAGAGCACATCTGCCCTGACCTTTACAGATAAAGCAGCTTCATATCAACAGCAACAGCAAAAATTATTAAGGATTGAAGTGTCAACTTTTGCAGTGATAAGGATTTAGAGGTTAAAAAGCAGGCATTGACGTATTTCCTGCTTCAGTGTGCTGGGACAGGAGAGCAGTCGTCAGTGGGAGACTCCAGTTCCAGACACGGCAGAAACAGCAGCTCAGTTGTTCTGCCCTTGGCATGGGGCACAGCAGTGACTTCTCTGCACATGGACAGAGTTGCTTTCGCTTGGGGCTTTGACACACACACAGGGTTAGGAATGCAATTTCAGATTTAGAGGGAAAGCCCAGTGCCTGATGCACACACACACACACACACACACACACCCTGCAAACTTTTCTGACTGCCCAAAACTCCATGGTTTGGGGCAGCAGCCGGAGCAAAAAGAAAAAAGAAAGACCCAGTGCTTGGAGGGGGGAGGTTTAGATGCAGATGCAAAGAAGTCCCTCCCTGCTCATCAGATCTGGCTTTGGATGAGTGGAGAGGAGGCCGGCTGGATCTAGACACAGCAAAGAAGCATTTAAGTTAATCGCATTGCAAACTTTGTACAGTATGAGAAACTGGGTTGGCAAAAACGGAACTCCACAGCGCCATCTGGTGTCATAGTGTTAGAATGCATGAACAATGCCTATAAAGCGCTTTTTCTTTGCCAGTGTAGCTGAGTCCGCTATAAACTCTTCCCTTCATACTTGCACAAATCATTTATGGGGAGGGGGCAAGGCTCTCACAATCAAAGGCACACCCACCCATGTCATACCAGAAGGTTACTTACCCCTGCTGTGTACACTAACCAGGGAGTAAGTCTTGCTGAGTTAAATGGAGCTTGCTTCTGAGTAGGTATGGACAGGATGGTACTGTTAAGTTCCAAAAACAGTGCATTTTGAGGTGCCATTGCCATTTGTTATTTATAATGTATGTAACCCCCCCCTTCTTAATGGCCAGCATGGCCAATGGTCAGGGATACTGGGGGTTGGGGACTGTTGGTGTCTGAGAGGCCACGGGTTCTCCACTCATGCACAAGAATGGACTACAGGGGAATGTTTTTACACAAGTTCAGGTTAAAAATAAAAAAGGGAAACTTTCATGCATTTGCTAAACAAATACCAGGAGCATTTTTTAAAGGGGGGGGCTTGAAAGAATATGCACATTTTTGTGTACAAATACATGTATATTGTAGGAACTGCACATAAAGATGCATATATTTTTGGAAACAAAACACAAAAATGCAGATTAATAGGGGAAATCACTTTCAAATATTATATATAATACAAAATTGTGTATTAGGAAGAAATGTGCATGAAAATGCACAAAGTGATGCAGAAATGAGGTGAACTGAGCTTAAGATTAGAATAATTAGAAACAGAAAAACCAACATTCTCTTTCCCTAATATTTATTTTACAAGCACATGCCCTCGAATTTCTTTGATGTTTGAAGCACTCGTAACAGCGGTTGGGGGTGGGGGAATAGCACTGGAATAGCACTCCCTCCCAAATCATGTCACTTGGCCTTAGGACTGAGCTATAGCTGGGGAGAAAGGAAGGCGGCTTAGGAGGCAGGGGCGGTAAGGGAACAGCTGGTCCTTCCCCATTGCAGCCACTACCTCAAGTTACTATGCAGCATTATTATTATTATTATTATTATTATTATTATTATTATTATTATAGGATATGCTTTTAAAGCGCAGTGTTTTGGAGACCATATAATATTGAATAAGTGGGTCAGCAAGCACCCCTTGAACATCCTGCAGATCTTAGATCTACTCACTCAGTCACCCAGTCCTTCTCCCTTACGCTCCCCCCAGCGGCTCCCATGCTGAGGGAGGCAGGAGGTGGGAGGGAAGACACCCCAGTTTCCCTTTTCCAGAACTGAGATAAAGACCCAGTTCCTTCCACTCTGCCCCTTGGAGACTCCCTGGGACTCTGCCTGCCCTGAAATTGCACATCATCAGGCAGAGACAAAGCGTGTCCACCAGGTTCTTAGGGCAAGTGAAATCTGGATACTTGGCTAAGCACTGGAGTCCTAGAAAGTCCAATGGCAGGATGCTTCCTACTCATTGCAGCTCATTAACCTTTCGAAAACCCTTTTCCTGTTATTGTCGGCAAAGTTGCTGAAAAGACATCAAGGCAGCCAGGCCTTGGAGGCAGCGGGTCCTGCAGGTGTAGATTGTTCCACATTTACATAACTCAAACAGCAGAGACTGAAGCAGTTTCCTCGACAAACCTTATTCCTGCCACACCTAGAAACCACATTATCTGAGAACAAATTAGCGTGCAGTTCCTGACAAGTATCAGGCATGAGTTAATGGGGCTTACTCCCAGGCAAACATATATAGGATTACAGCAGTTTATTGCAACAAGGGCAGGGGAGACCTCCAAATAAAACTGTCCAGCTTAGGCAGCCTTTTAGAAAGCTTGTATAAGCATAAGCATCATATACAGTTGGCCTTGGTTTGAAGGCCATTCATACGACAACCCTGGGGACAATAGTAAGGTAAAGGTAAAGGTACCCCTGCCCGTACAGGCCAGTCTTGCCAGACTCTAGGGTTGTGCGCTCACCTCACTCTATAGGCCGGGAGCCAGCGCTGTCCGGAGACACTTCCGGGTCACGTGGCCAGCGTGACAAGCTGCATCTGGCGAGCCAGCGCAGCACACGGAACGCCGTTTACCTTCCCGCTGGTAAGCGGCCCCTATTTATCTACTTGCACCCGAAGGTGCTTTCGAACTGCTAGGTTGGCAGGCGCTGGGACCGAGCAGCGGGAGCGCACCCTGCCACGGGGATTCGAACCGCCGACCTGACGATCGGCATGTCCTAAGCGCTGAGGTTTCACCCACAGCGCCACTCGCGTCCCCTGGGGACAATAGTAACTGGACCTAAATAGTGGGCACTCATCCACCCTTCCTCTCATCCCTGTTTCCCCTTGAGGAAAGCCGCTCTTTAGTGCTCAATCAGAGCAAAGAGCAATTCGTGTTTCCTCTGGATTGACATTTGTTCTGATTTAGCACTAAAGTGTGGGTTTTCCCTGGGAAAGCATTGGGGCAAGGGGGAAACTGGTCAGACCCACACTTTCTAGGCACAGGACAAGCGGCAGTGTGGACAGGCCTGTCAATCCAGAGAACACCCAAATTGCTGTTTGCTCTGATTGAGCACTCAAGAGCTGTTTCCCCAGGGGAAAAGCAGAAGAACAAGAGGAAGTGTGGCTAAGCACTGAGAAAGAGGCCCATTGAAAAGAATGGGACAAGTCTCCTCAGTGAGTCACCTCTCAGCATGACTCTGAATCCAACCCATTGAAATGGCAATTCAGTTATTCTGCTGTGGACTTGCGTGTTGGTCCTGCTCCCAAGGAATACCCATCTTTCACCCTAGCATGGGGAAAGTTTGGGCAGTTATTCTATGTTTGTTTTTATTGTTTCATTTGAGTTGTGGTGGTATAACGTCCTGTCCGTAGGATGAGAGTGATGCATCCTCTAGTGTGGAAGGGACTGAAGAAGAATTTTAGCCCACTTCAGACACCAAGCGTGCAGTAAGTGCAGCAGAATGAGAGATCCAGAGGTCCGTGCCTGGCCTCTGCTGCTCCTGTGTGTGGCTGCTGCAGCGTCTGGCAGAGTGGGCCATTGCCAAAGGTAAGGTCCGAGTGGAGAGAGAAGAGGCGCTCAGAAGGCAGAGTGGAATTCTCTAAAGGGCTGGAGACAGGCTGACTCTGGGGGTCTGTCCAAACCCCTACTATTTGGTCAGGGATCTATTCACTGGCCCCTTCCTTCAGGTGGTTCTTAAGAAGATGCCACTATATTTCCATGATCTGAATCCTACAGCGATACGGAAACAGCCTCCGGACAAGAAAATTAGACACCGGATATCCTGTCGAGAGATTGGTGCTAGACAAGCTGAGCTCCTTCCATCTGTCAGATTCCGTATCACAGTGGGAGGAAGGATTTGGGCAGGCAGGGATAAGCCAGAAGGAGATTGGTCAGAGGCCTGGGAATCGCCATCCTTCGCAAACACAGTCACATCACACGTTCTGCATTCATTCAAGCAGTGGGGGAAACAAGGAAATTTAAAAGTGGCCTCATGCTGCGTTGAAACTATCAAATAAAGTGAAGCTGAGCACATGCATTTTGAAAAGTAAACACAGGGAACCCTGTGTTAAATATGGACGTCTATATAACATGTTTCTTAAATATTGTTTCTTAAAACATATTTTTAAAATGAAGTTTTTGTCTCAATTTTCCCCCCTGATATATTCATAAAATATAAAAAGTAGATCCAGAGAAAAAAATCAGCAACAAGCCACTATTGAAAAAACAATAAATAAAAATATTAATCATGAACTATGCATTTATCTCCAAAATTGGATTATATTCTACACTATTCAACAGCTCATGCTTTTTTACCTGTTACAATATGCATTATATATAGAACACACCCATATGCACTTTCTCTGAACCTTTTAGCCTCCCTAACTCTGCTCATGAAATCTTCTCACTGACTCCTTATATGCCGCTCCTTGCTATTACTTCACTGCCTGGACCTTGATTTGTAATTTCTCTAACAAAAATGTTTTTCTGCACCCCAAAGCAGCCGTGATGCTGGGGCCTGTTTTTCCAATCTAGATGAATGGGTTAAAGAGAGACAGGAACTTGACTGCAGTTCCAGCCTTTTCCTTTGTGCTTTAACAATCAAAGGAAGCTCAGACTTATTTGAGGAATTTCCCACGCCTCTACTTCAGACATTAGAAAATGGTTTTCTTAAACTCATATCAGATATGTTTACAGAAAGAGCCAAACAAGTTGGGGGGGGATCCTGGATAGGATAACTATCTGTATACGTTACAGCTATTTGAACATTTTTAAAAGAAAAATAAAATAAATAAAAGGATACGCCATGGAACAGTTTGGGTGCTACAGGTGCCCTGTCATCTTCACTGCGAAATAAGGAGGCAAACCTCCACCTCTGTCATTGTTTCATAGCAGGCATGTCCAACTCCCAAGAGACTGCGATCTACTCCTGGTATAAAAAACTGGCAGTGATCTACTTGTCACTGGAGGGAGGAGGAGCGTGGGGGTGTGGATTGCCCAGAGTTGTTGAGCTTCTTGGGGGCATGATTGCACAGAGTTTTTTAGCTTTATTCCCATAACTTTTCCCACACAATAAGGATCCCGCGATCTGCTAGGATCAGCCAGGGATCTACCAGTAGATCATGGACGCTTGAGCTGAGATTCCTGCCTTGTAGGGGGTTGGACTAGATGACCCTGGGGGCCCCTTCCAACTCTATGATTCTATGATCTGGGTGGCCACTGTGAGAACAGGATGCTGGACTAGGTGGGCCATTGGTCTGAAGCAGCAAGTTCTTCTTCTTGTTGCCAGCCACCCCAATCTCTGAGCCGTGCGAGATTCCTTTGGGAATGAGGCACAGCAGAGACTGTGATGTCCTTATGGTTTATTGACACATCTATGCAGCCTGAGCCTACGAGGGAGGAGTGCACGGCATCCGCACCCCAAAACGGCCTTGCTTCTCCCATAACTGCAGCCTTGGAGTCACACAGAAATCAAGCCTTTGCTCTCTGATCCTCTGCTTGCTGGTTTGCTTTTTTAAGGTCACATCACTGCAAACCTTGCTCTAAAACTCAGGCTTTGTTTTTCAACTGTCTGAGAGTTAAAGGAGGGACCCCACTCATTTGGCATCTGGCACGCAGGTAGGGCTGCCATATCTGGAAGAGCAGGGAGCCTACTTGGGCCCCCAGTTATGGGTTCCCCTGCATGTGATGTCATGATGTCAAGCCTGTGCCACCCAGCCTTGGCACCTGACTTCCGGTGGCATTGCAAGTCGGGTTCCGAGACCTCTGGAAGCATCTCCAGAGTTGCGCCAGGGGCCCTGCAGTGTGGGTGATGAGCACCCACAACAACATTTTTGTGGATGCTCGGGCACCCAGAGCCCCCTATAGTTGGTGCCCCTGTTGAAGAGCAAAAAAAGGGGCAGCCTAAGTCACTGCCAGCCCAAGCGCCCAGGCCCTTCTTTCTCTGGCTCAGGCTGGCAGTGGCTGCAGAGCAGCCCAAGCCCACCAACTCCAAAACCTAGACATTTCCTTTAAAATGTAAAAATCTGCCCAGGTGGGCATGTTGACCCCCCAAAAGAGGACATGTCCGGGTTTTCCTGGACACATGGCAACCCTACACAGAGGCCCCTTTCCTTTGTTCTCTTCAGAGCCCATCACCCAAGAATCACTTCAGCAGGAAACCAGCCTTGCTGGATCCAGGGATTCAGGATCAGCCTGGCTGGATTAGCTTTTAGCACTTGCGGGATCCAGAGAAGAGAGGAGTCCGGCACCCACAAACTCATCACAAACGTCCATGACTCCACCCCCGGGGGTAGGGGATTAGTCAGCCTAAGGGCCTTCCCCTTTGGGTCACACCCCAAAGAGCTCGTCAGATGAAATGATCACCCCTCTTTTTCACATAAGTGTATGTGCAGAGGGCTTTATTTTACCCCAAAGAAACCACATCCTGTTTTTAAACAACCAGATTCTTTTTTTGGGGGGAGGAGTGAGGACCACATCAGCAGATCTTGCCTTGTGCCTTCCACATGACATTCTCACTCAGTACTTCCCAGACAGACACTAACCTGGCCTGTATGGAACAACAAAAAGAACAATGTGTCCCAGCACATGTACAGAGAGTCTTGATGGCGTTATCTGTTCTCAGCTATAAAAACAGAAGAGGGAAAGAAAGGAGAAGCAGGAGTGCTGGCCTCTCTTCCTTTAAAATTGGATTCATCAAGGATTAACCTAGAACAATTAGCTGATAGTGGGACATTTCCAGGTCTTTGGGAGAGTTGCCTCCTTTTATTGTGATTTGAATGATATTTACAGTTGTTGCTCCATTAATCCTTACCTGAAAGAAATGCCAAGGCCGCTTTCACGGAGGTCCCAGCTAATGGATCTCTATTCTTTCTTTTGCAGGCTGTGGGACGTTCCTGCCGCTGTGCATCTCTCGGCTCTGTGTGCTGTCTGGTTTTCCCCACCTTCCCTGCAAAACCCCCTGAAATCAACAAGGCACATCGGATTCTCTTCTACATTCAATACAGGTCCAGGGAAAAGGGTCAAATATTTTGAAAGCTGTGATCAGAGAGCATAGCTTCAAGTTTTCAAGTGTGCGAAACATAAAACATTCAACAGAACAAAAGACCACTTCCTAACCCCACCGCCCTTTCCTGTGGTCAGCAGGAATCTCAGGAGTGAAATGGAGTAAGCAAAGCTCATGAAAGGGGGAGGCTGGTCATCAGCTGAAGTGGCCCCAGGAACAGCTCAGGACTTCACCCCCCACCTTAATTCAGGCTCCAGCTTGCAATAGTAAGGGGCAGATATAGGATGCCTATTACGGTTCCCGGTTACTGCCGTGACAGGAAAATTAGGCAAAAAGTTGACCTTTAAAGAAAGAAAAAATATACAAGTCTGGAGAACTCATAAAAGCTATTTTGTGACATTTCTGCTGGTCTTAACAAAGTTATTCTCCTAACTGGGGGAAATTAGTCAGCTATAAATGACAAAAAAGAAATTATTTTATTTGTTGGTTCCTCCAGCCAACAATAGGGAAAGAATTTTTGTGTTATTGGCTTTATAGCATGCCATCCCATAAGGAGAGAAATGTTCTTTGGGGAACACATGCATTTTTACTATGAAATGGCAGCAATATCAAATAATGATGGGAGAAATGGCCACCACTGAAGAGTCACCACAGAGCTTTCCTATCTTCCCAAACCCAGTTCCTGTTTGGGAGAGCTTGCTTCAGGGCACCCAGGGGCTGGGGCAGGTCTGGGCTGCTCTTTGACAAGCCAGAGGACAAAAGCCCCAAACTAATTGCAAGACTTTTCAGGTAACTGAATTCATATATTCATCTGTCATGTTGTTCTGTCAGTGCAAGCTTTTTGGCATTCCAGAGGGAATGGGCTCCTTCCCCCCCCCAACCCCACCAGAGCCAATTTCAGGGGGTACAGGAGCCCCCTTATGCTAGCAGAAGTCCTTGCGTGGGCTCCCACTAGTGGGACTTATCAGTTGAATCCCACCCAGAATGACAAAAGCCCTCCAGCAATATAGCATATGATGCTGGCCCATTAAGAACTGCATTGCTCTTGTGTGAAGTATATGTGTCACGGGCTTATGTCAAGCGCAAAGAGAGAGGGATCTAAAAAGGCACCCAAAGGGCCTTCAGGATGCTGGGCCTGGATCCCAAAATCTGTTCTTCCTTACCTTCTAATTATGTCTGCTGGCTTTCTTTAAAAAGTGTCATATTTCTGGTTGAATGGAGTATAAAGAAAGAGTCTCATTCAGCAGCATTAACCTTAAAACAATTGCCAGAAGAGATAATCCCAAAGGGAAGGAAACAAGAAAAGGAATTTACATGCATTAGCATGAGGTGTCAATGAGCCAGTTCTGCTCTTGTTTTATCTTCTTCGCTTATTCAGAGGAGGAAAGTGGGGCAAAATCCTGGGCGTGGGAAGTTACTGCATAGTTTAGACTTGGCACTGAGTGCAAAAGTTGTAGTCCAATGAAATATAGGAATATTGCTAACATTGCCATGGCATAGCCCTTGAAGATACAAAAAACAACAACACTGACAGTCACTTTGTGCCAATTCATTATTGGAGTCCAAATGCAAATCAGCTTTATCCAAAAAAGATAATGAATAATCTAAAAATGGCAGTAACTTTTTCTTTTCCTTTCACATTAAGTCCTTGTGTTCCTGTCAGGGAAAAAGGTGGGTTAATGATGATGATGATGATGATGATGATGATGATGATGATGATGATGATGATGTAGAAATGGTGCTATTGTTTTTATAGGTTGTGGGACTGGTTTTATTGTTTTCAGAATCTGTCTTTTCGTATTTTATCTCATTTTTGTCTTGCTGTGGACTATTTCAATGTTTAAGTCTGTGAAACAAACAAGGTCCAGCTCCGAGGGCCTTCTGGCGGTTCCCTCACTGCGAGAAGCCAAGTTACAGGGAACCAGGCAGAGGGCCTTCTCGGTAGTAGCACCCATGCCGTGGAACACCCTCCCACCAGATGTCAAAGAGAACAACAACTACCAGACTTTTAGAAGACATCTGAAGGCAGCCCTGTTTAGGGAAGCTTTTAATGTTTAATAGGTTATTGTATTTTAGTGTTTTGTTGGGAGCCGCCCAGAGTAGCTGGGGAAACCCAGCCAGATGGGTGGGGTATAAATAATAAATTATTATTATTATTATTATTATTATTATTATTATTAATCAAACAAACAAACAAACAAACAAACAAACAAACAGATCTGTGGATATTGAATATCTTCAGGGCAACGCATGAGAAACGTGAGGGCTACATCAGAGGCCAAGAAGCAAGTTGGAGGCTGATATCAAAACAAGACTTGATTAAACTTGTTTAAATTTCTTAATAACTGATGTCATTACTTTCTAATGTTGTTTTATGATTGCAAGTTAATGTTGTGTGCTTAGTAGGATATGTTTTATATAGAGAAAGAAAATATGTAAAATAGCATTACCTGACATTTTCAGAAGGGAAACTTAAAATTATTTGGTTTTCTGAAAGCCATTTATGTGTTTTTTAATCAAATATAGATTTACTAAGCTAAATGTTGTCCAATCACAAAAATAATAGCAGATTTGAATTACTCACACCCCAAACCATCTTTTTAAGACCTCTCACTGAAATTTTTTTGCAAAAACTAAGTTTCACCCCCTAAAATGACACACCCTCTCCTGACTTTCAGTTTTGGTTACAGGAACAGTATTACAAGGACTGTTGAGAGGCCAGGATGTCACGCCAGAATCTGAAGGGCAGGAATGTGCCACCTTGATGTTTATACAATGTCAAGAATTTGCCATTCCACATTCCAGACACGCACTCCTTTGTGAGCACCACAACTTGCTCTTTATTATTTCTGAGAGCTCTTCCTGTCATAGGAAAACCTGCATCCTCTGCTTCCATGGAATTAACTGTTGTCCGTTTCAGACCAGACTGGATTTTTTTCCATTCCTTTCCAGGCCCAGTTATTACATTAAAGAAGGTAAATGATTTTTGTAGCTTGGATGAGTGCAATGGTTGCTTCGCAGTTGAGGAAATCAGAGGAGTTCTCTCCAGGCATTTGTCCTCCCTTGGCTTCCTGCTGCCCTTGGGGATCCTCAGGATTCGGCCTTAAGGATCCTGGGCCCAGAGAAATAAAACTATCCTGCCTTCCCACTTACCAAAGCAATGCTCAAGGCGGCTAATAGCAATCCAAAGGCAATAAAATGAGCAGCAATTAAATGTTAAATTGAAACAGCAGCTAAAGAGATAATTAAAACAGTGTCAGCTTAAAATAACAAAATTAAAAGAAAATGTGCTCAACTGCAGCAAAGGTATTAAGGTCTTCTGGGTATCCTTCATGGCCATTTTTGTTGTCCTGTGGTTTTTGTTGTCCTCATACTACATGGATACAACATTGTCTGGGTTTCTCTATCACAAGTCATGTCAGCCCAGTCTTCTCTCTCTTTTAGCAACCAGATCTGGTAGATCAATGAAGGCTTTTTAAATAGCATACCAGTAAGGGTTTTGACAAAGTTCCATGGGAGACTCTTGTTTACAAAACTGACTTCACTTCTCCACTTGGGGTGAGGGACAGGGACTTCCTGTGAAAAGAAGACAGAGGCTTTGCTTGTTTCAGGCACAATATCCTCTGCAGTTAGATTTGGACCTGAAAGACTAAGGAGAAGTGCAAGGCCAACAGAAGATATACTGCACTGCAGAATCACATCAGCCAACAGGAACATTTTTTTTTCATGCCCATAGATTGCAGGTTTTAGCCTTTTTATGAAAACTATAACAGCTAGAGTGATTATTTATTTCCCCCTTCTTAGCAACTGACTGAGCAACTATTGAGAACGCACTGGACTCTGAGATTGAGCAAAAATAAATAAATCCAATATACTGTACTGGAGATGAAACTCATTCTGTTACTTTAAATTCAGTTTTATATACACTTGGTATCCAACATTTAGCAAACAAGTGACAGTTTCATTTCCTTTGAGAGGGGTTTGTCCCACAGAGCATTCCTCTTCCTTACATGTCATTCATCATTGTTCTGCAACCCAATCTGTTTCCTTCAGCTTCTGTCTGCAGGGAATCTGTCAAATAAATAATAATAATAATAATAATAATAATAATAATAATAATAATAATAATAATTTTATTATTTATATGTCACCCATCTGACTGGTTTGCCCCAACCACTCTGAGCAGCTTCCAACAAATTAAAACATCAAACATTAAAAATTTCACTATACAGGGCTGCCTTCAGATGTCTTCTAAAAGTCACCCAGAGAAGCTGCTGGTGTTATTTAAAAACAAAAGACTACAAACTTTTTTAGTAATGAAAAGTCTATGTCAACCAACTCTTCCCAAGTCTGGGAGAAAAGGAAATAACTTTAAAGTGGGCCCCTAATCTTAAGTCAGAATCTCCTAAGCATAGCTTAAGCACTCTTAGAGGGGACGTAACAGCTGCTCTATTTTGATTGTTCTGCTTGCAAAAGAATTACAACCCCGCTTTCCTTATGTGCTGTTCTTGGGGTTCTCCTGCCGCCCAGAGCCAATTGCAGAGGGCAGAGCAGGAGAAGATAAGGGCTTCCGTTGATGGGATGTGAGCGGTGAATCCTGTCCTTAAGTTCCATTGACCTCAGTGGGAAAATGCAGCATCAGACTGACTCCCTTTTGCCAAGGAGACTTTAAAGATGCTTCATGTTGGCTGCATGGTGCTCATATTTTCCTGTTCAATTCAGACGCTCCAGGGGTTTGAAGAACTGCTCATCCACTCCAGGGTCAGCAAGTGGGCAGCTGCTGAGGGCACACCACTGCCCTGTGCTCCCTTGGAATCGTTGGCAGAATCTACACACATATGTTTTATTAAAAAATTTTTTTGAAAAATACGTTGAATTTTGCCTAGCTCACTGTCGCCATCTAGTGTCACATTTGTATTGCACTTTCTTCTTTGGCGATCACTCATGGCCAAGTGAGATTGTCTTTCATGAACACGGTTTTAACAGTGAGTCTGTGACTGTAGAGGCCAATTCTAGATCCACATGTCCTTCCACAGTGGGGACATAGGTTTCCGGGTGGGAGATGATCACGGTATGGTTTTGCCAAGTGTGCCTTCCCCTTAGCGCGTTTCTACCTTTTTGTC